AACAAATGCCAGGGCGATAAGCTGTTTGACTTTTAGAGCAAACGCGGCATCTGTCTTGTATTGCTCACTGAATCCACTTCCTTGCACATGCCTCCAAATACACTGCCCGAAGTGAAACAGACACCCAACAATTACAACAGTGGGAAATTTCGCCTGGAAGGCATGGATGGCAGCCAGCTCGAAATCACTGACTAAAGTCTGAGGACTGCCGAGTTCACGAAGCGACGATACAAAATCAAGGAATCGACGGTAGACATCCTCACTTCGTCCTGGTAACAGTGCGTAAACGCAGGGATATGCACAATTTTTGTCCCATCCGTGTACCGTATACAGTTGATGAAACCCTTCAGGCGTCACGCAAAATGTTCCATCAGCAAACCAGCAAGCAGACTTCTGGAGAAATTGAAGATCCTCGTCAGCTGCAAAAATTACCATATCATCTCCTTCGTCTGTCCGCAGGAACCGATGTCCTTCATGCGTAAGTCGACAAATTTCATCGGTGGCAGCATTCTGTGAAGCTGCACGACGTCTTTTGACGTTTCGCGCCATGTAATATGTAATATCAAAAAATGGTTTGATTTATTAGGTAACAGGAATTACATCAATCAAGGTTTATCAAAGGTACGGGCAGAGCCGTACGCAAACAGCTAGTAACTTATATTATTATATTATTATTATAGCTGTATTTTTCAACATGACTTTTGGGCCATTTCTACCGGGGGACATTTTGACCGGGGACATTTTGGCCGGGATATTTTGACCGGGACATTTTGACCGGGACATTTTGACCGGGGACATTTTGACCTAGAACCTAGTCATATAGTGTAATATACGGTTTCATAGATTTATATAAAGTTGTATAGTGTAATTTATTTTATATAGTTATATAGTGATATGTATGGTTATATAGACTTATATATAGTTATGTAGAGCTATTGATTATGTATAATTATATAGTGATATATACGATTATATAAATTTATATAAAGTTATGTAGAGTTATTGATTATATATAGTTATATAGTGATATATAGTCATATAGTGTTATATACGGTTATATAGATATATATATATATTTATATAGTGTAATTTATTATATATAGTTATATAGTGATATATACGGTTATATAGACTTATATATAGTTATGTAGTGTTATTGATTATATATAGTTATATAGTGTTATATACGGTTATATAGATATATATTTATATTTATATAGTGTAATTTATTTTATATAGTTGTATAGTGATATATACGGTTTTATAGACTTATATATAGTTATGTATAGCTATTGATTATATATAGTTATATAGTGATATATACGGTTATATAAATTTATTAATAGTTATGGGTTGAAGCAGGGATATGCAAAGAATCTCAATTTTTGCAACTTTTTATTATTTTCGGTAATGTCGATTTTATTTGTTTAAATTTATACCAAATAAAAGTAATTAATTACCCTATTGAATAACAATTTAAAAAAATTAAATTTTAACATTTTAAATAAAAGCAATATTCCGTAATTAGTAAATATACTATCGTTACTTTTGACTCGAACCTCACCCTCCATCTCCCCTCCCTCCAGAAGTAAGCTTCTTGTTCAACCGTTGAAAGTGAGCGAAGGCCGTTATATTTATTCTAGTTATATGTATCAAACAGTATCTTATTGAACAAAATAGTATCATAAAATAAATAAAGATACTTTTTTTAATATAAAAAATTCTCAATTTGATTTCATTGCGATATCGATGATGATGATGATTGTGGCCTGACTAATTAAAAAACATCAAATAAAATTTATAATAAATTATAAATTTGAACTGCGTGCGCACATATGTAGCACTGATTACTGTTGCGTTTATAATGAATTTATATACTCTATAGTCTATATAAAGCGAGCAAAATTTTAATATAAAACGCTTATAACTTTATGCATGTTGGCTCAGCTTGGCTCGACTCGGCTTGGAATTGGATGTTAAGCAAGGTGTGGTCTTAAACTATTTGGAATTCTCCCAGAAAAATTTGCGCACATATGTAGCACTGATTACGACTGTTGCGTTAATAAGGAATTTATATACTATATATATAAAGCGGGCATAATTTTATTATAAAAGCGCTTATAAATCTATGCATAATGGCTCAGCTTAGCTCGGCTCGGCATGGGTATCGGATGTTAAGCAAGGTGTGATCTCAAACTATTTTGAATTCTCCCCGAAAATTTTGAACTGCGGCGTACATATGTAGCATTGATTACTGTTGCAATTATAATGAATTTATATTTATATATATATATATATATATTTATATATATAAAGTAACTAGAATCCATGTATACAAATAATTAATAAGATTATATGTTTTATATAAAAAGCAATATAGCAGATTCAACCAGCCAATCAGAAAATTTCGAAGGCGTTCGTTCGATGACTGTTGGCATTGTGGTTAAGACTGTATAATACTGTAGTACATACATTAAATAAGTTTATATAGAGTTATATAGAGTTATATAGAGTTATATAGAGTTATATAGAGTTATATAGAGTTATATAGAGTTATATAGAGTTATATAGAGTTATATAGAGTTATATAGAGTTATATAGAGTTATATAGAGTTATATAGAGTTATATAGAGTTATATAGAGTTATATAGAGTTATATAGAGTTATATAGAGTTATATAGAGTTATATAGAGTTATATAGAGTTATATAGAGTTATATAGAGTTATATAGAGTTATATAGAGCGTAAATCCTATATAGACACCTTTCTTTGAGGTTCTTTTCTTTGCCGACCGGTCGGCTTCTTTGCGTTTCTCTATTTTCATTTAAATTAATTAAATAAATAAGATTTGTCCGTTCATTTAGGTTCTTTCAGTTTCATTCATTCAGGTTGAAGCTTCCGGAGGAGTTCATCGTGGAAGATCAGAATGGTTGTGATGTCACGCTACGTTCGTTCATTCAGTGTCAAAGAATGCACGCCTGGCTGGGGTTCGTTTTACTGTTTCTTTGCGGTTTCTCTTTTTGCCAATTGGCTGGCTTTTCCGGCTGGCGGGTTTCACCGCGGCTCGTTTCTCTATTTTCCTTTAAATTAATTAAATAAATAAATAGATTTTTTTATTTCATTCATTTCATTCAGGCTAAAGCTTCCAGAGGAGTTCATCATGGAAGATGTCAGGCTACGTTCATTCATTCAGAGGCAAAGAATGCACGCCTGGCTGGGATACGTTTTATTCTTTTTTCTCTAATTTAACAATAAGTAAGAATGCTCACACGCGCACACACACACACAATTACATTAAGTAGCTATATAGGTAGGTTAGATAGACATAATTTTAATTGTAGGTAGGATAGATAGGAAACATCCAACACTAATGAAGTTGAATAGGTAAGCGCGTAAGTTTATCGCTTCTATTTTATCTCGCATCTACATTACACGCATTAGCGTATTACACACACACACAGTTGCATACATAAACACATATATTAGTATTTGAGCGTAATTTTATTTTCAATACACATTCTAATTTATTATTACTAAGGTTGAGAGTAATTTAATTTCATAGGTAGTTAAGGGCGATAATGTAATTCTAGGAACAATCTTGTAATGTAAATTAAAACGCTGTAAGTGTATCGATAGGTAGGTTAATTATAAGTTATATAATATTATTATTATTATGTCGGAGCCCGAGGCATTACGTAGGTGGTGGAGTGGGTGCCGAAAGGCCAATGAATTGGGCTCTTGAGTTTTGTAATTTTAGGTAAGCTAGGACCGTAATGTAATGAATAGGTAAGTTAAGGCTACGTTGTAACACATACTCATTAATAGATTTAGGGTTTAAGTTTTATACTATTATTACTAAGTTGGAGCCCAAGGCATTACGTAGGTGGTGGGGTGGGTGCCGATTGGCTAAATGAATTGGGCTTTTGAGTTTTGTAATTTTAGGTAAGCTAGGGCTTAATTGTAATGAATAGGTAAGTTGAGGGTACGATAGCCGATTGACTCTGGATTTCAAAGTCTCTTGTCAGAGGTAAGCCTTGGTGGCCAGTGGTGAACCGGCAATGGTTTACTATCCGGACGGCAATGGTTTACTATCTGCACGGTAATGATTTACCATGCGGCACGGCCATAGTCTACTACCCGCACGGCTTCCGGACGGCAAATGGTTTACTATCCGCACGGCAATAGTCTACTATCCGCACGGCAATGGTTTACTATCCGGTGCCCTGGCTGTCGGTGAGCCTCTGTGCAAGGAGGGAGAATGAAGGAAGACTTTCGACTATCGTACCATTAACAATTTAATATAGATTAGCTAAGGTAATTGAATAGGTAGATAGGATTATTTTTATTAAGCAATTTGAGATGCAGGCACCGCTAAGCTTTCTGATGAGAATTTTCTCTTTCTCCATCAACACGGGCTGTGTTTCAACAACAATCTCGATGAGGACTGGCACCAGTTTTGGAGGACAACGTAGGAACCGAACCGCATTCAACATTCTGCCTTTATCGAATGGACGACGGTAAGTTTTTTTACATTTTAATCACTTTATTATTTTAAAATATTATTTATTTGCCATTGTTTCCATTTTATAATTTTTTGCTCCTAAGATTCTAACATTCATTTACTACTACGCTTATAAAAAAAATTTGTCTACAGGATGATGAGAGGTGGGCAGTGGTGGGAGTCAGCACATTTCAGATGGTTGTCTCATGATGATTTACGTATGATGATGGTGGTGTAGGAAGAATCAGCGCGTTGGCTGTTCCACTGACAATCAGAAGTTCGGATGAAATCATGTGTGCCGACCAGATGATGGTGGTCGGTGCAATGAAGTACTGTAACGACGATTTTTGAACTAAGGTTTAGTAGTTTCGTCTTTTAATTTTTCTCATTGATTGATTGATTCATTGATTCATTGATTGATTGATTGATTCATTCATTCGTTCATTCATTCATTTTATCACTCAATCTTTCAAATCATTTTTCCATTAATTTATTTTTTTAATCATTGAATCGTTAATTAATTCATTGACTCTTGACTCACTCAGGCATTCAACATTTTGCCTTTGTCGAATGGACGAAAGTAAATTTTTTTTACATTTTACTCTCTTATTTTAAAATATTATTTATTTGCCATTATTTTCATTTTATAATTTTTTTATTTTAAGATTCTAACATTCATTTATTACTAGGCTAATAAAAAAATTTGTCTACAGAATGATGAGAGGTGGGTTGTGGCGGGCGTCAGCACGTTTCAGATGGTGGTCTCATGATGATCGTTCCGATGACAATTCGAAGATGACAATAAGAAGTTTCTGGAGAGTAAACGCGCGCACATTTACGCACATACATCAATACAACACACACATACACAACATCCATTCAATCGGTGTCGTTGTTATGTTTCTCTTCAACTTTCTATTTTCTTTACCGGACTTAATTTTATTCATAGGTAAGTTAGGGATTGAGATGAGTAGAACAATCGTAGGTAGGCTAGGGCTTAACATTAGTTAAAAAGTTTCAAGTAAAATAAAAACGCTGAAATATGTAATACAAATAAATACCAATAAAACAAACTACATTTTATTCTCGTCGTCGCCTTAAATTTTACCTTTTTGAACAATCTTTTTAATAATGTCTATTTATTTATTTGATTATTTATTAAATGTTGACTGGTTTCAAGTTTTTTTAATTTGGTTATATAATTCTTGGATATTTCTTGATTTAATAAAAGCAACTATTGTGTTTTTCTTTCTTTACTAAAATCTCGAAATTGTTTGTAGATCTGTACAGTTAAGTGTTTGTTCGAGTTTGAACAAGCATTGCAAATATTTTTCAAATATGGTTCATTGATTGGTTAGTTGACTAGTTGATTGAATGAATGGTTGGTTGATTGATTGGTTGATTGATTGATCTCATAGTATTTTATATATGAAAAAAAAATCCGATTAAGCCAAATACGACTTTATTTGGCCACTGTATTTTACCAGACAAAAGCAATTTCTTTATTTATATTGACAAAAATAATTGTGAAATGAATATATTGACTTATTTAAAGCATTTTATGTAAAGAAAAAACTGCCATGACACTGTTGTATGAGACCCAGTAAGCCACTGCAGTAAGCCAACGTATGATTTCAGCAACCATAATTTCTATGAGCACCAGCGGAATGTAAAATATTCATTGAATATAATGAAGATAGTTGTTCAAATAACAATTTTGATCTATTTAGGTCGTTTATTTCACGAGCAAACAAATTTTTAACATGATCGAATAGTGTAAAAAAGGGTGACTTTAGTTCAATCCTACTTAGCCAACCTTCGGCTTCAGTAAAAAACCACCGGATTTCACAGGACCAAAAGTATAATTTTTATATTCAAATTAACAACAATAATTTAATAATACATAATTTTATTTAATAAAATCATAATTTTATTTAATAAAATTAAAGAGAATTACTACAATGTTTTAAGCATATTAAGTCAAGTAAATATTTCATATAGCTTGCTCGTTAAAATCCATGCAATTTCGTAAGCCAATAATCCAAGCACGACAAATTATATGAAATTATCCACATAATTGAATAACTAGCAAAAATCATTGAATATTAGTTATTTTAAAAAATATATTCTTTATTCCCAGGCCTAAGCATTGTAAGTAAAAATTTTACAACCAATCAAGCAATAGGATTTAGGATTTTAGGAACAAGTGCTGTTAGTGTAGTAGTTGTAGTATGTAGTAGTGTAGTGGTTGGTAGTCTCTAGTAGTCTAATCTGTTAATGTTCGTTAGTGTTATCTGTTATTTATTTTAATTAGTAATTAGAATTAGTAGTTTAGTTTTAGCTTAATTATTAGAGTTTAGTAATTTAATTACTAATTAGTCGTCGTTAATGTTGTTACGTTACTCTAACCGGTTACAGTTAATCGTTAACGAGTCATGTGTTAGAAGAGTGGTTCACAAAAAATTTTTTTAATTTAAAATGCAAAAACCGTCATACAGCAATATCTATCCTAAAACAGCATCTAGTATCACCTTTCAAAACATGGTTAGAAAGAATATGTGAATATGATCCCTTTTCATCTTCATTCATAGGATCATTAGATGGTAGATTTTTAGGTGAACAGTTGCTCGTTTCTCCAAAATATTTCATACCAAACTGCTTACAGCATTCAGAAATACTATCACATCTATGCATATCCCCATACTCTTGGAGGCACTGATCAGATAAAGAAATTTTCTCATTCAGTTTATTCACAACTACATTTATCTCATCATTTAAAATAATCTCCTCCGAATCTGTCAATATAAAATTCGTTTTTAGGGTGCTTTGTAGTAGGTATTTACATATTCATATATGTGTGTGTGTGTTTGTGGCATCACGGTATAACAAAAGTATACACAAATATTGAATTTAATAAAATTTAAAAATACAGTTTTATTTTTATGTATAATTTTAACTGATATCATATTTGAATTAGTCAAACCTGTGGAAATATCAGTAAAATTAATAGGTTCCCTCCCTTTATAGAGAAAGCTAAATAAATAATTACACAACGTGAATTTAAAAATTTTTTGATTTTGTTGCATTCACTAAAGCTACTGAAACAACAAAATTAATTCAAAATTAGGACTATGGAATAGGATTGTGAAAAAACGTATAACTTTGTGTATCAAAAATTGATATCAAAATTTGGAAAAATTTGAAAAAAAAGTCAGAAAAAATTAAATATGAAAAGTACTTTTTAAATGTCCCATGCAAAATGATATTTATTCATGTTGCCATAAAAAAAACAAGTTAAGGATAAATTGTTACAATGACCCTGACATACTTGAATTAAATGATCTACATTACACAAATATACACACACATACAACAAAATCTGTAAACCCAGAATATTTGCAGTCACATAGAAACTATAAAATGTGACGCTGGTAGTGCATATTTGCACCCCTGGAATGAAATTTATATACTTTCGTTTAGGGTTTTTAAAAGAACCTTAATTTTTCTAAAATTTTATACAAACAGTATGTTTTTTTTTCTTAACTTAATTTTAATTAATAACTATAACTCAACAATTGTTATGAGCAAGTTTTATTAAAAGATTATGCATTAAGAGGACAAAAATGCTCTATGCTCATTGGCATAGTTTCACACGCGTACTAAATTCACACAATTTGTTTCCAGTGTTGTTCTGATTCTTGTTGTTTTGTGTTGGTTGTGCGAAAGCCGATCAGACTTGACGGCCCAGTGAAAACAGGCCAGGGTTGTGCGAAAGCCGACCGACTGACAGACAGGCCCAGTGAAAACAGGCCCTTGGTCGTGCGAAAGCCGATCAGACTTGACGGCCCAGTGAAAACAGGCCAGGGTTGTGCGAAAGCCGACCGACTGACAGACAGGCCCAGTGAAAACAGGCCCTTGGTCGTGCGAAAGCCGATCAGACTCGACGGCCCAGTGAAAACAGGCCAGGGTTGTGCGAAAGCCGACCGACTCACAGACAGGCCCAGTGAAAACAGGCCTTGGGTTCTGTGAAAACGAATCCGCCTCGTTGTTTTGTTTCTTGTGCTATTTGTGGACCTAGGGTTCTTTGCTGGATTCTATACTCATTGGTATAGTTTCACACGCAGCTTGGAATTTCCATAGGCTCCGGTTTTTGTGATTTTTTTTCGCATTCATTTTTATTTATTTCTTGGAGTTGTATCGACATCCCCATCGGATACACACGTCGAGGTTGTACGATTAAACGGCAAGAAACATATCCCAAGTCGAAGACCCAACAAGAAGAAGTTCTAATTCCTGTATTCCAGTTTGTTCATTGACATTTACATTATTATAGAGTTCATTAGTTCAATTCCTTTTATTTACTTCCGTCGATTAATAAAATTGTTATCGAATATTTTTACGCGTTCGTGTGTTACTCAGTAAAATCATATAATTCGAAAAAGCCCAGTGCCACACAGGACTGGTCGAACTCACGTTAAAAATATACACAAAAATTATTGTCGGACCATAAAAAAAATTCCCTGAGAAAGATAGAGGAGGAGATTACCTACCTCACACCACCAGTTGTTTTAACTGTTTTCATTTATAAATTTTCCGACAATTAGCGCCCAACGTGGGACTTTGTCATCATTTAAAAATCTCCTTATCATTTATTTAAAATCTCCGACAATAGTTATGTAGAGTTATTGATTATATAAAGTTATATAGTGATATATACGGTTATATAGATTTATATAAAGTTATGTAGAGTTATTGATTGTATATTAAAAATGTGTTTTATTTTTAAAGTTAGAGACCGGTATTGTCATTTTGCAACTATATTATTTCTATGATCTCTGTTGAAAAAAAAAAAAAAAAATTGGTCCTGGGTATGACATAAAACTGCATCCACGCTGCCTTGCGTGCTTTTGAGCGAAAGGCTAGGCCCACCGCTTATAACTGGTGGTTGTCGTCAGGATGGGTGTCCGGATGTAAAAACTTTTCCCCAAATTATTCCTATGCCATCACAAAGAAAAACAACGGCCCCTAGTCCCCAGCAGGTTTTAAGTGGTCAAGGGGTGCCAAGAATCCCTGGGAAGTATGCAATAGCGGAGGAATGTTGCAGAAAAATTCAGAATGGCCCCTCTATGGTACTTAGACTTGGAACGCTCAATGTTGGATCACTGACTGGCCGCAGCATGGAAATCGCAGAAATGCTCGAGCGTAGAAGGATTGACATCTGCTGCTTTCAGGAAACCCGATGGAAATCGAATGGTGTCTGTCATGTCAACTCAGACAAAGAAAAATATAAACTATTCTGGAATGGTCAAAAGACGGCCAAAATGGTGTTGGAATTTTTGTCAGAGAACCGCTAGCCCAAGAAGTACTGGATATTAAAAGGATTAATTCTCGTCTTATGTGGATCAAGCTTCGCATAGAAAAGCAAACAATGATTATTTTTTCTGCATACGCACCACAGACAGGCGAATCAGAAGAGATGAAAAATGACTTCTGGACCGCATTCTCTGACACGACACCATTTCAACAATACCAAAATCTGAAACAATCCTGATTGGAGGCGATCTCAATGGCCACGTTGGAGAGAAAACAGATGGTTTTGACAACGTACATGGCGGTTTTGGCTATGGAAAACGGAATGAAGATGGCAACCGCATCCTTGAGTTTGCTGAAAGTCACGGGTTTTGTTTACTAAACACATATTTTAGAAAGAGGTTGGAACATCTCATAACATACAAAAGTGGACCATCAGCCACGCAAATTGATTTTTTTGCTGTCAAGCAACCACACCGAAGGCTGTTCAAAAACGTCAAAGTTATACCTGGCGAATCATGTGTCGCCCAACATAGACTCCTTGTGGCAGACCTGGTTGTCGAACTGTCAAAACAAAAGTCTAAACAAATGCCTCGGAGAATCAAAACGTGGAAGCTGAAAAGCAATATTCATCGAGAAAAATTTCAACAGATTGTCGCCACACAGTTAGACCACCAATCGCAAGCCAGTACAGATTGGAATACATACAAAACCGTTTTAATGAACGCTGCAACTACAGTTTGTGAGAAAACTGGTACAAAACGTCAGCATGAACGTGACACTTGGTGGTGGAAAGTTGCATACAAGCAATGGCAAAAATCAAAGTCTGTTGATGACCATAAAATTTTCCGTGAGAAGAACAACTATGCAAAACGTCAAGTTGCACTGGCTCGGACAGATCAGTGCAGAGAGTGGCTCACTAAAAGCAAAGGTGAACAAATGAAATCTCAGTATCGTATAGCAAAACAAGCAAAGCGTACGAAAAAAGACATATTTGGTGCCTCGTGTATCAAAAACGACAAAAATGAGATGGTTCTTGAACAAGATGAAATCAAGCTACAGTGGAGAGAATACTTCAATCGTCTGTTACACGAAAGAAATCCCATCAATGTGAACTTTGACGCTCCACCCATCGAAGGTCCTATTCCAGACATCACTTTAGAGGAGCTTACAGAAGCTCTGAAAACTATGAAGGATGGAAAGGCAGCAGGGCCCTCTGGAATCACAAATGACATTATCAAAGCATCTGGTACTGCAGGTATCTAAGCATTACTACAACTTTGCCGAGAAATCTGGAGAAATTGCTCAATGCCGACTGAATGGAACTATAGCATGACAGTCCCGCTATACAAAGGCAAAGGTGATCCATTGAACTGTTCATCATATCGGGGTATACGTCTGTTAGAACACTCCCTGAAAATTGTTGAAAAAATCATTGAGAGAAGATTAACGTCGTGCATCACAATCGGAAATTATCAATTTGGTTTTCTAGCGGGGAAATCAACAATTGATGCAATTCACATCCTTCGACAACTGCAAGAGAAGTACCTCACAAAGCATCAACAACTATCACTTATTTTTGTAGACCTTGAAAAAGCATTTGATCGAGTTCCCCGTGAAGCAATCAGATGGAGTCTACGTCGACAATTCATTCGAGAATATCTTGTTCGACTTTTGATGGAAATGTATACGAATACTAAGACTTTTGTCAGCACAACGGTTGGAAACACAGATGCATTTGACATCGGCGTTGGAGTTCACCAAGGCTCGATTCTCAGTCCACTGTTATTTATAACTGTGATGGAAGAAATCACAAAACCGATACGCACTGGTGACATTTGGAATCTAGTATATGCTGATGATATCGTTATGTAGATTTTCGCCGGGCGACATTCGAATTCCGCACCACGCGGTCCCGAACCGCGTCCGCATACGAATATCCACCCGAGCCTTCGCTTCGGCGGAGTCTTTCCTGGCCGGGATCCGCCACTCTACAATAGAATTCTACAATCTACAATCTAAAAATCTACAATCTACAATCTACCTCGCCACTCTACAATCTAAAAACACGGGCCGGGCGGAAGTTTGTTCGCGCCCTGCTTGTTGACTAGAGACGCCGACCTCGTCAACTATCAACAAGTCTTCTTCAGCATCCATTATTTTAGGTAGAATAATTAAGCCGAGCCAAACTTCAAGTGTACACTTCTTTTATTCAATAAAAGAAATAAAATAACAAACAAAATAATACAAATCAAACCTCTGTCCTTATTAAAACAAAACGATAAATCCAAAATTAATCTATTAATAATACAACTGACAAGCAAGAGACCAAAACCTAAAATTAAGATAACAAACGACCAGCCTCCAATATCTTAACTCGCAGCCTTTTATATGTTTTTGCCGCCCTATCTACATAACGCTTTTTATGTCTTAGAAAATTCTATACTCCTATCTATACTCTTTTCCTATACTCAGAAAAGCGATACAGCACAGCAGCGTCGCATATATAGCATATCAAATAACAAAATATACATGCATAGAATGTCTAGTAAAATATATAGATATATATAGGCGGCACGCCTCAAAGACGCAATCATTATCATCACAATCGTCACAATTTCACAAAATATACAGGCGGCATATTTCAATCGCGCAATCATTATCATCACCATACAGGCGGCATATTTCAATCGCGCAATCATTATCATCACAATCGTCACAACTTCACAGTTTTAACAGCCACGTCTGAGCAGAATGCAGCACAGATGTTTGAAGATTGGAACACCAAACTCGCCGATCATGGATTCAAAGTCAACATCAGCAAAACCAAAGCAATGAACACTGGTGAACCCATCCAATCCACAGCTACTGGACGATGGCCCTGTTCAGTTTGTAGAGCTGGTGTAGGTAACAATTCAATCAAGTGTCAGCAGTGTAACCAGTGGTGTCACAAACGTTGTTCAAAAATAATTGATACTTTATCTAAAGTGTCCAATTTTGTTTGTCCTGCTTGCATCAATCCACAACAACAAATTCGAAATAGCACTGTCTTTGAAACCATTAAAATAGAGAAAGTCACATCGTTTCAATATCTAGGGGATGTTCTGGATTGTACTGGAACAGCTGAAGCTGCCGTTCGAGCACGCATACGTGCAGCCTGGAATAAATGGCATCTCCTTGCCTCTATATCGATGCGGCGTGACATCCCACTACCACTACGATCAAGACTTTATAAATCTGTGATACGTCCGGTGTTGTTATATGGTGCAGAAACATGGCCAATGACAACCAAACTGGAACAACAACTTTAACGAACCGACATGAAAATGCTCCGATGGATGTAACGAATTAGTCTGAAGGACCACATCAAATCTACCGAAATCCTGCGTCGTGCTGGTTTAGATGATATAAAGGACGAATGCCGGCAACACCGTCTGCGGTGGTTTGGTCATGTCAAACGAAGTGGAAACAGTGCCGTAACTTCTCTTGCAGATGTTGAAGTACATGGCACACGTCCCAAAGGCCGTCCAAAGAAGTCCTGGTCGCAAACAATCGAGCAAGACATGAAAGCTCTAAATTTAAATGAAATGGATACAACTGATCGTCTAATTTGGCGCAAAAAGTTGATGGCAAGGAAACAACGTCCTACCTCGGAAACCGGGTCTCTGGACGCAAAACGAAGATTGATTGATTGATGTTACGTCCTACCTCGGGGAACTGGGTTTTCTGGACGCTAAACGAAGATTGATAGATTTATTGATTAGTAATTATGTTATTGACGACGATACTGACTTTTTTGTCCGCCGTATGTTCATTACACTTCTTAAATTATGTCAATTAATCAATTAACTAGCTAATTTAATTTATATACACACACATATGTATATATATATATATATATATATATATATATGTGTGTGTGTGTGTGTGTGTGTGTGTGTGTGTGTGTGTGTGTATTTTATGTGAAAACCAATAATTTTTAGTAAATGAAATAAAAAATGAATGAATTCATCGGCATTGTTGTTGAAAGAGCAATAGATATGTTTGATGTAATAATAATAATACTACTATTATTATTACTTTTATTATTATTATTATTTATTATTGTTATTATTGTCAATGCAATTATTATTTGTTTACAAGAATCAGTTCTCGCTTCGTGCAACATAGTTTCATGAAAAGCTCTGAAAATTTGGACTGATGATGAAGTGATGGTAAGGTTCATGACCTTTCCTCTGAGATGATGATAATGATGATAACCGAATAATAATGATGATGATGATGATGTCAATGATGATGATGTAATGTATATTGATATGTTTATTTCTGCTTGTTATAACTCTACGTTAATAACTCTTGTATGTGTTAAACATGAAACGAACGATTGTTCATTTGGAGCGGTCTATAGTAACATGTGTTTGTGCGTGTAGGAATGATAACATGTGTTGTTTATTGTGTGTGTATGTGTGTGTTTGTGTATTAAAATTGTGCACGTTCGAATGTGTGTACAACACTGCACGTGTTTGAGTATGATGGCGATTGTAGCTGCGATGATGATAACACGTTGATCACCATTGATGATGATTACAAACGATGATGACGATGTTGATGATGACATGAACTATGAACAATTACTATTTGATATTGTTTTCGGCCAGTAAATATTACTCTGGTGTAAAGTCATCATCATCATCATGAATAAAATGATGATGATGATGAGTAAAAATAATAAAAATAATAGCATTAAACGCAATGATGATTGTTGGTAACGATGACAATGATGATAATGGTGATGATAATGGCTATGGTAATGATGATGATAGCGACGTTCGATCAGCCATACCTGTTATATTAGCATTGCAACAGATGCTATGTACATATATGCTGAATCATCGTCATCATCATCGTCGTCGTCGTCTTAATCATCATCGTCGTCGTCTTAATCATCATCATCGTCGTCGTCATCATCATCTTCATCGTCATCATCATCTTCATCGTCATCATCGTAGAGGACATCATCACTTTTGTTATCATCTTCCTCTTCTTCTTCATAGAGGTTTGTACGTATAATCTCATCATAGGTATGATTAATATTCCCCGGAAAGTTTGTTCGTTGCTCAGGGTAGCAACAATACTGGATAGCGACACGTCTTACGATGACTACATGAAGCTGCAACAACGAAATGTACAAGCATACACTGAAGCGACGACGACAATGGCGACAGATTACAACAACACACAACAACAACAACGTCAGTAAGAACACTATTAACAACAATAGCAACGACAAGTATGTGATAATAACAGAGATATTAAATATGTTAAAAAAAGACGTTTGTATGTGAATAACAACAACAACTAAAGTTTGATAACAACTCTAACACATTTTATACCAACGACACAGCAATAACAATAACAGAAACTACAACAGCAATAACAACAACATGTGTTTTATGTAGGAATATGAATAGATAGCTTTTTAACTTGCTAACGCGATAAACATTATCCATTTTATTTTCATGATATTAACCGATACTTCAGCGTGTAATAGTTGATACTGTATCATAAAAAGTATTTCCCTTGCTCACTCAGGTTAACAATTTTTTTTCCTAAAATTAAAAAATTCATGAACCTATTTTTAATTGTTTCAATTTAAAATAATTTAAAATGCACGCGTTTGAAACGATTTTACGATTACATTTACACAATTATTTACTGAAATATTTTGCTTTGAAATAATTTGACACTCAGAGGTTGGTCTTGGAAAATTTTCATTTGTCTCTATGTTAAAACGTGAAATAGTTTTTTTTAAACCATGTTAACACGTTCAATTACGTTGTAAATACTATATATGATATAAAAGTGATGTTTATTAATAATTTTACATGTCTATGGTGATAATATTTCCAGATTATTAACTCAAAATTAGAACAGTTAACAAGTCTAAATGATTTAAAAAAGAGAGATAAATTTATTTTCTAAAACGTTCAAAATTAGCGGAGAAACATTTTCAAGGGATAACTACCTTCTAAAACATCTAAAAAGCAACAATAACAACATCATCTGCAGTAGCAAACATTGCAACAACAATTATAACAACAACTACACATATTACCACAACAACAACAGCAAAAAGAGTAATAGTATCGTCTCGGAATACCTCGAATCACATCATCAACATCATCCGAACAGTCAAATAACAATAACAACAATCACGTCAACAACAATATTTCAGCAATAATACCATCACAGCAACAAAAACAACATCATAGCAACAACAACATTGCAACATCACAACAACAACAACATTTCAACAACAACAACATTTCAACAACAAAAACAACAACATCACAACAACAACAACACAACAGCAACAACATCCCAACAACTACACCATCAATATTACAACAAAAACAACACACTGGCTAGAGGAAGAACAACGGAAATGGATACCACAAACAAAAACCGTTACCGCAAATCACTGGGTGCCAACGTAAGAACGGCATCATCATCATCGTCATCAACAACAACAACAACAACAACATTATCATCGTCATTATTATCATCACACTGGTTGTCATCATCATCGTCAGGAAAGTTTTTTAATAAATTATTGGCAACGACGTTTCAACAACTGCATCTACCATCATCATCGTCATCATCATCGTCATCATCATCATTATCACTATCATTACCACCATCGCCATCATCATCATCATTGATATCATCATCGTCGTCATCGTTACGATCATTAACACAAAGTCATCATCGACTGACGTCACTTCACTCACCTCATCACTTCATCACAATCTCTCTCCTCCTCTTCTTCATTTCTCCACATCTCTCAATCGTAGTGGAGGCCTTTGAAAATGTCTGTCAGGCGCAGACAGGCCCCGGCCCCAATGACTTCACTTACTCCGTCTGCCAGGGTGACCCGCTGAAGATTTTGAGGAGCAACGCTTCCTACAGCAACGTCACCATCGACCCTCCCACCATGACCTGTGGTTCTACCGGAAAGCAGGAATCTATTTGTCAGGTTGGTTTGGTTGTCAGGTTGATTGATTAGTTGGTTGGTTGGTTGATTAGTTGGTTGGTGGATTGATTAGTTAGTTGATTGGTTGATTAGCTGGTTGGTGGATTGGTTAGTTGGTTGGTGGATTGATTAGTTGGTTGATGGATTAATTAGTTAGTTGTTTGATTGATTAGTTGGTTGATTGATTAGTTGGTTGGTTGATTGATTATTTGGTTGGTTGATTGATTATTTGGTTGGTTGATTGATTAGTTGGTTGGTTGATTGATTAGATGGTTGCTTGATTGATTAGCTGGTTGGTTAATTAATTGATTAGTTAACTGGTTGGTGGATTGATTAATTGATTGGTTGGTTGGCTGATTGATTAATCATTTGATGGTTTTATGAATGATGTCCATGATAAGTGGCACGCATATGCATAGTCAGGCAATTTTGGGCTCGGTTAAAAGGCTGTAATGTTTACTGTGGAATTGGTTTCAGTAGCTCGGCTAATTTATTATAATTCATGGTCGGATTTGCATGGTTGCTTGGGGAAGTGAATGAATGGATGAATGAATAAATGAACGAACAAATGAATGAATGAATGAATAAGTGAAAAAATAATAAGCACAACATGTGACGCGTAGGTTAATTGATATGGTAGTTAGTGAGTTATTTGGAAAATTTTAAGGCTAAAATATGTAACTATTAATGTATTGATAAGTTAATGAAGTGTTAGCGGATTAATAAGTTGTTATCTTGCTTGATCAATTATTTTTGTGTGCAACTTAATGTTATAAACAAACGAATAAATTAATAAATTAATAACTAAATAACTAAACAAATAACTAACTAACTAAATAAATAAATAAATAAATAAATAAAAGAATGAATGAATGAATGAATGAATAAATAAAAGAAAATTGATGATGGTTGACGCGTGCCAAACAGTTGCTGCTTGATTTTTATAAACGCCGATGCCTATATATCAGGTGATAACATATTTACAAATTGATCACTACAGTGATGAGGACGATGAAGATGATGATGACGATGATGAAGATGATGATGACGATGAAGATGATGACGATGATGATGAAGATGAGGATGATGAAATCAAATCAATAGCGGTGACTAACACGATGATGATGATGACAACATCTGCAACGATAATGTCACAAACGCGATTATATTATTGACTGATTGTAAAAATTACAACCGCAAAAATTTTAAATTCAAATATTTACTCAATAGAAATTTCATCAACTGAAAATAAAAAAAACAGTCTTAATAATTAGATTTTTTTTTCAAGGATTTTCTATGAAATATTTGAAAACAAATGAGAAAAAATTGAAAAATTTCACTAACGAACCCAACCGCCGACCGATGCAGACCTCCCCGAGAAGATGCTTCACGTGCACGGCCAACCAGTTTCCCATCTCCTACATGACTGACGTCATCCCTAACACTGACGGCCAGCCGAACTACAACACGAGTTGGCAGTCCCTCACCTGGCTAACGTTCGGTCGGCGACCCCAGGCCAGTATTTTAATATCGGCCGGGAGGAGATTTGTCTTGCAGGACGATCTGAAGTTCACTTTTGCGTCTCAGAGGCCGAAGCAGGTTTCACTCAATTTCAGTCTATTTTATTTTATTTGTTTTTGTTACGTTGGCGTTGAGATGTGGCTCGCATAGATGCACAATTGCTTCGACTGTCACGCTCTTTCTAATGGAAAATTTACTACTTCTATTAAACTCTCAACATCGTTCGTGACGATGTAATCAATTTCTGAATAATATTAATTTCATGAACGAGCACATTTAGAATGAATGATTCAAGTTATCATACAACACGAGGACAGTAGATATTCCAACATCGCACATAAGCACAAATACTCACTACAATGCTTAAACACATAAATGTTCAAAAATAAATTAATTGATTAAAAATATACACTCTAACACACAAAACTATACACGTACACACACACACGTTCACGCAAAAACACGTACACACACACACGTACACACACGCACACACGCACAGGCTATCTTAGAAAAGTCGGTTGACTACGGCGTGACGTGGCAAACTCTGCAGATCTACAACATCAGCTGCGCCAGTGTTTACAACGCAGCCATCAAGCAGAGCATAGTGGCTCCTGATGACGTCATGTGCAGTGAGGAGTACAGTTCGGAGTGGCCGAGTACTGGAGGGGAGGTCAAATTTGAGGTGAACAGGGACAGGTCAGTTGCAGCAAACATGCAAACAACTCTAGAACATGCAAACAGTAACACGAATGACCACACACCACACATTCACTTCGCACTCAGACTGCAGATGTACTTAGGAAGCATGTTCAACAACTTCGAAGCTCTCTACAATGCCTACCAAGATACAAATCTCCTAGAATTCCTCACCTTCACCGACCTCAAACTGAATCTCATCTACCCTGGCACTGACGGTGGAGAGTTCAGTGGCAGACAGAATGATCTATTGGGATATTCATATGCTATCTCTAATATTTATTTAGTGGCTGGGTTCGTAATTCATTAAAAATGTTTTGATTAGCGTTTACTCAATGTTTATTGCCGCCACCAACGCCTTAGATGCGACTGCAACCGCCACGCGAAGTTCTGCGTGCCACAGAACGGCAGAATGGTATGCGTGTGTGAACACAACACGGCGGGTGAGAATTGTGAAAAATGTCTGCCCCTCTATAACAACAGACTTTGGGCCCTTGGATCATTCAAACCACCCTTGAATGGGACTGCCAACGAATGTCAGAGTAAGTGGTGTGTGGTCATTTTGCTGTTGTCAGGTCTTTTACTATGGTATCGTCTAAACTGTTGTTTTTGTGTTGGAGTTTGTATCACATTTTTCGTCTCTTTTTTGATTTGGGTTTGTTTCTTTAATGATCAACCACCGTCATAACAATTACACTTACCGTCTTGAAACGTTCTAATCGATGGAATGTTTCAATTAACGTCTGTTTCTTCCCGGTTAAAATCTATCACGTTTTGTTTCATTGTAATATTTTTTTAGTTGATATTAATTTATAAATTATAATAATTTAATGTCAGTTCAATTTTCAATTTTATTATACAAAATAAAGAATAAGTGAAATTAAACTAAATGATTTGTACTCTAGTAAAATTTGTCGAAAAGTTTGATAATGTAGACAAACCCATGATGAATATACATAGGATAAATATAGACTGTCGAGTTGAAAGATTAATAAGTTAGACCAGTACAAATGTTAAGTATTCGAGTAAGTAAATACTCGATACTGTGTACCGGCGATCAATTAATCGATTGCCCGGCATTCGTTTGTTTGATGTTCGTTCGATGAGTGCACTCCCAATGTTTTTATCAGTCGGTGTGGTGTTATTGACGAACATATGTTCACATCATTGCAAACATCATCATAATCATCATCATCGTCATTATCATCATCATCGTCATTATAACGTTCGATAGCACAGCCATCGGTTTTCATATTAATTTCATCATCACTTTCATCATTTTCACTATCATCGTCATCACTACCACTACCATCACCACTACCATCAGAATGCGAGTGTCATGGCAGGGCAGTTGAATGTTTGTACGACCCTGGGAAGGGCAGAGGGGTATGCATCAACTGCGCCAACAACACCATGGGCGATAATTGCGCCGAATGTATGAATGGCTATTTCATCAACTCCTCCATCTCCATTGATGACCCTGGCGTTTGTAATAGTTAGTTTGTTTGTGACCGTTACAGTACATGTATATATGTTATTTACATTGTTACGGCACTTGTAGATTTCCGTTACGATGAAGTTACATGCAATTTTTACCTGGGTGTGTGTTGTGTATGTTGGTGTATTTGTATTGATATGTTTGTATCTATCTATGTGTTGGTGTGTATGTATTGATATATTTGTATGTATATTATATGTCGTATTATATATTACTTTTTTGTATTTATATACAAATAATACATTAAACTGTATGCGTGTATACATGTATGCATTGTATAAAAATTTTATGGCTTTGTTTATCGTAGCATTTATTGTAAGAATGTTACATCGATGAGAAAAAAATCATTTACTATGATGTAAGAAAATCAATGTTTTAAAAATAAAATGCCACGCCGTCCTCATCATCATCGCCATTGCCACATCATCATCATCATCATCATCTTCATCATCATCATCATCATCATCATCATCATCACCACCATCATCTTTTTCTTCATCTTCTTCACCGTCATCCCCAACAGCGTCATCATCATCGTCATCGGCACCACCATCATTACATCCTCATCATCGTCATCATCCTCATTTTCCTCATCACATCATCATCGCCAGCACAGCATCCTCCTCATCATCTTTACCACCATCACCATCTTCACTCACAAACAAACGACCACTACCGCAAATTCAGAGTGCGACTGCGAGCCACACGGCATGGAGTCCAGCACGGAAATGAATTGTAGCTACGGGACCGGTCAGTGCCAGTGCAAGAAAGGGGTCACGGGCCTCAGGTGCGATTCTTGTTACTCGGGCACCTACGGACTCCTAAGTAACGACGCCACCATTGGCACGTGTAAACGTTAGTCAAGCCAGATTGCGTTTTGGGGTTGCTGTTGTTGTTTCAAGTATTTTTTTTGTTTACTTGTGGCTGTTTGTGGTTTTGTGTGTGAACGTAACACACACACACACACACACCACACACACACTCATAAAAATACACTCAGACACACACTCCTGCTGGCCACACGACACACACTCCTGCTGGCCACACATACACAAAAACACACACACAAACACAAACACACCAAACAGAGTGTAGTTGCAACGTTCAGTGGACGATAAACGGTCGAAATGATTGTGACCAGCTAACCGGACAGTGTCCGTGTGTGACGGGTGTGGGGACGAGAGACTGCTCCATATGCAGTGACGGATATTTCAAGAATGCCACCAACAATAATGTTAGCCCCTCCGTCTTTATCACTGCTAGCTATGGCGGCGTGATGGTCTAATGGTTAAGGTCGCCTGGTGCTGTTTTGCAGTAACCGGGTTCGAATATGACATAAAAGATCCCAGCCTATCAATGTGCTTTGTGTGTGATGCTTCGTTTAGCATGTATTCATATACGATGTTTATGCGCTTTGTTGAATCCTCTGAACTTTGGAAAAGTGTAATTGACCTTTAACCTTTTTAACCTTTATGATGAGACTATAAAGAAAATGTCTGCAGTCTTAAGATTATGATGATAAGTTGTAAAAACTTTAGTAACTTCATTGTATAGCTGCAAACAATGGTTACATTGTTACTACCGAAACAACGGGACTAACGAAACCATCCTCCGAAACAGAAATGCGACCCATGTCAGTGCAACTACGGAGGTGCAGTCAACCAGACGTGCAACAAACTGACCAGCGATTGCACGTGTCGACCGAACATCATCAGCGGTTCTTGTCGAGTTGCTAAACCGGATTTCTACGTACCGGCCCCGGATTACATCAATCTGAAACCGACTCCAGGATCGACGAGTACTTGCACGAATACCACCAGCGTTGATAAACCGATAGATGAACCGTTTACGGAGAGATGGTACTTTAGCTGTTTTTTCGGTCAGAAAGTAAATTTTGTTGACGTGCTCAGTAGGGTTCGCAGGCAAGGAAATATTATCCAGTCAGTTGAACTTTTTAAATGTTGGATTAACGTTAAAATAATAATTTGTCAAGCTGTTCATTTAAATTTTTTAAGATGTATCTTCATTAATTTTTATTTTAAAATTAATTTAATTAATTTATCATATAACTATTAGATATTTTATTTAATAGTTAATATTCTTATTTCGAATGTTATTTAATTATTTCATCATAATCATTTCAATAACTGGATGAAACAGATCCTACGTACCAAGCGTGCGGTACGCAATTAGGGATGTGTACTCGATACCAGGTGCCACGCTGACGATCACCAATACCGGACCGAATATTAATTTCGATCCAACCCTCTACCCTCCCTCCAACGGATCCGCTTCCGATTGCATCCAAGGAAGTACTCAAGTCTTCACCATCTTCAATCTACCTCCCGGTTGGTTGCGGTTGTATTGTCGTGGTGATGTCGAAGATGACGATGACGATTACAATTTTCAAAATGTATCTACTTAATTTAACCTTCAATTTGTTTTGTTTCTCATTTGAAGCGATCACTAAAACTTTCATCACTACCTTGAAATAATCACCAACACAACCGTAATCATAATCATCATCGCCACCATCATCATCTCCACCATCATCATCGTCGTCACCAGGTTTTGGACAAGCATGGTGGAACGACACAGCCAAAGCCCTTTTAAACGCTCGTTGCAAATATGATGCAGAGTTCAAGGTCACAGATGCGGTCAACTTCAGCAGCCCACTCCTCTTTGATTCCTTGGTCCTCGTTCCAGATCCTGACGCCAGCCTCGTCTACACGTCCAATGGTAGCCGTCTAGATTGATGTTAACGGAAAAATAATTTTATTTCGTCTTTATAACCGTTGTCGTTCTATTTTAGGTTGAAGTTTTTGTGTTGAAGTTTTTAAATTCTTGTGGATATGAAATTATTTATGTTAAAACGTTGAAACAAACAAGTGTATAATTTTTCACTTATACTTCTCTTTATCTTTAACCCAACCATCCTCATTCTCGCTTGCATCATCACCACCACCATCATCTTCATCATTTTCCACCACATCATCTCCGTCATCTCCACCCCAAAACTTCCAGTGGAGAAACAGGAAATATATGACCAGTGCATCTTTGGCCTCATTCAAATGTACAGCAACGTGCGTAATAGGTGCTTGGAGTACTACTTTACTCTCATGGCCGAACAGACTGCTGAAGCTTACGGTGATGATGTGATGTGGTGGTGTGGTTATGTGATGGGATGCGGTGTAATGTGGTGTGGTGTGGCGATGGGAAGTGATGTGGTGGTGGTGGTGTCATTCTGCGATGTTGTGACTGGATGATGTAGCAAATGATTATGTAACAGTTGTTGTGATAGCCACTTTTTGAATGACATCAAATAATGATATCATGGCAGTATCACATTCACGTCATTATTATCTTCATCGTCACCATCATCTCCATCATCTTCAACACTATCCCAGTCACAATCATCTTCATCATCTCTGTCACAATCATCCTCTTCATCACACTACCATCAAACCACCAACACAGCGTGCAATTGTGATTCAGTGGGCACCGTTCCAGGTAGTGTGTGCAGTTACGTCAGTGGTCAGTGCCAGTGCAAGCTGAACGTTGGAGGAAGGAGGTGTGAGTACTGCCTGCGAGGTACCTTTGCATTCTCTGACACTGGATGCCAAAGTATGTGTTGGTCGTAACAATTAGGACGATAGTCTGTCTTTTGCTCTGATTTTTATTTAGTTGTGTCTGTTGTATTATGTTTGTTGTATTGTATTGTACGTATGTTGTTTGTTGTATTGTACGTATGTTGTTTGTTGTATTGTACGTATGTTGCTTGTTGTATTGCATGTATGCTGTTTGTTGTATTGTATGTATGTTGTTTGTGGTTTTGTATGAATGTTGATTGTTGTATTGTATTTATGTTGTTTGTGGTTTTGTATGAATGTTGTTTGTTGTATTGTATGTATGTTAGTTTGCTGTATTTTATGTATGTATGTTGGTTCGTTGTATTGTATGTATGTTAGTTTGCTGTATTTTATGTATGTATGTTGGTTCGTTGTATTGTATGTACGTTGTTTGTTGTTTTGTGTTTCGTTGGCTTGCTGTATGCATTGCCTGCAAACTGTCGTTGTGCTTTTGACATTGTTTTTAAATTTCATTTGCATTTTCTTTAGCATGTTCACAATCCCCATCTTCAACTTAATCACCAGCATATTCATCACCAGCATATTCATCACCACTACCTCAACTACCAACACCAGACTGCAGCTGCGACATGAACGGCTCCTTCCACTCCGTATGCGACTACACGAGCGGCCAGTGTCCATGTCGACCGAATGTCGCCACGTACGGTCAAATCACAACCATGGGCGCTCCGTCCGAGCGTTACTGCCGATTCTGCCTCGCCAACTTTTTTGGCTTACCTTCGGGTCAGGGTTGTCAGCCCTGCAACTGCCACTCCAACGGAAGTGCGTCACAACAATGTGACGTCATCACGGGTGCCTGCCCTTGCAAGGACACGTTCGGAGGGCAGAAGTGCGATCAGTGCAGAAATGGATTCTACGGGTTCAATGCTACTGCTGGATGCACGTTCGCTCAGTTTTTGTTTTCACTGCTGATTAAATAGCTTCTGATGTTATTATCTAATTTAAAAATTAGCATTTATAAACTACTAACCACCCAATCAACTGATCAATCAACCAACCAATCGATCGACAGGGTGTGTGGTTGCGACATGCGGGGCTCAATGAATGGCAGTTGTGATTTGTCGGGCAATTGCTACTGCAAGCCCAACGTGGGAGGAGCCAAGTGCAACCAGTGCAAGGTTGGTTCAGTAGATTAGTAATGAATGAATGATGATGATGGTGATGACGCCAGAGATGACAAAACGAAACTTATTTTTACTGAACAAGTGATGATGAAGTTGATGGTAGCATTTGGTTCATATCAAAATGATGATTGTATTAATATAATAACAATAGCCTTGCATTACATCAGCAGTAAATTGGATATTAATGAAGTTTACGATGGTGATTTAACCATTTAAATGCTACAATAGCCAGGAATGTACAACCTGGATGCGACAAATGCAGACGGTTGTCAGCCATGTTACTGCTCCTCATCCGCATCTTCACCGCCACCCGTCTGCACGTCTGCAGTTGGATTCAAGATGACCACCATTCAAAAGTTCGTACCTTCATCATCATCCTGATCACCATAACCACCACCACCATCATCATCATCATCATCATCACCACCACCACCTCCACCATCATCATCATCATCATCACCACCACCACCTCCACCATCATCATCAGGATCACCAAGACCACCACCACCACTATCATCATCATCATCATCACCACCAGTGATACAGGCTGGGAAGTACAAAACCCCTTCTTCCTCTTCCACCTTTCCAGCCCTCCCCCCTACCTCGGCTACCGAGTCTCCTCCTACAATCAGTTCATCCAGTTCACCATGCTCTCCAACACTACGTTCAATTCTGGGAAAGTTCAACTGGTCATCTTAGTGGCTGGAGGTTTGTGGTGATGATGATGATGATGTTTTTGATGATAATGATACTGTAATGTTAATGATAAAAACGATAGATGTGAAAATGATGATTGGGAGAAGTTGAACGATGATTTATTTAACGTATCGGTGCTTGCAACACGTTACATCTTCATCGATTTCATTGTCTTCGTCGTCTTTATCATTTTCATCGTCTTCATCATCTTCATCGTCTTCATCATCTTCATTTTCTTCATTATTTTTATCGTCTTCATCGTTTTTATCATTTTCATAGTTGAAATAGATATAAACAGCAGAAAGAAAGCAAAAATTATATTACCATCATTAAAATTAATGCTATTTTTTTTTATAAATTTTTTACAGATGGCAGGAGAATTTCCTACCAGCCAGACAACGTGGCCTTCCTTCAGAACCAGCCAAACCTTCTTCGTGTTCAGTTGAATGAGAAGTTTTGGGTTGATAGCGCCAGTCCAACTAAACCGCTCACCTCATTTGATGTGTATAGTGAGTCGGCTTGAATGATTAATTTATTGGTTGGTCGACTAATCGATAGATTGGCTTACTGACTGACTGATTGACTGGCTGGCTAGTTGATTGGTTGATCGAATGACTTATTACATTATCTTTGATTATATATTTATATATTTGTGAATACAATTTTTTCTATCTTTATTTCAATGGGCTGTCGTTTTTTATAGCACCGTGTGTTACCACTATCACGATTATCACCATTTTCTTCACCCTCCTACCCACCACCATCTTTCTCACCCATTCCGCCAGGAACACTTTCTTCCTTATCCCAGCTCCTCATCCAGACATATTTCCTGGAAAGATATCAGGTGACGTTGTCTCAGGTCATAATGACGTCATCTGCTCCAATCGACTGGCCGTACATTGCTATCAATTACGTTGAACAGTGCACGTGTAGCAATAACATGGAAGGTGATGACGACGACGACGATGATGATGATGTTTTGGTTGATTGATGATGTTTTATTAAAAATTTGAGCCGTGAAAATTAGAAATTGTTTGGCTCTTTTGTAATCAGTAAACTTTCTTTTACCAACAGAGTTATTCAGAACATCATCATTCTCACCCCCAACTTTATTTTGATTTTCATTCTTACCATCAAATAATCATCATTTTCATCGACTTCATCGTCTTTATCATCCTCATCGTCCTCATCATCTCCATTATCTCCTTTCATTAACCAGGATTATCATGTGAGAGGTGCAAGAAAGGATTCAAACGTGCGGTCGTGAACGACACCACAAGCGCCTGCATCGACTGCCAGTGTGAAGGAATGACTGCAGACACTCAAGTAACTATAATATTTTTTTCAACAATTCTCTCCTTAATATTTTTCAAAATTTTTTACAAGGAACCTGATTCAACGCATCACATACGCTGCCTGCGATAGACAGGGATCTCCCTGCATTCGAACCCGGTCAGAGCAGCAAAAGTATCAGACATCTTAACCACTACACCATCAACATTACAAATACTTCAAATATACAAGATGTGATGTTATTGATTGTACTGGCTAAAATGCAGTTACGAATTTATCTGCAGGTGTGTGATGAAATGGTGGGCAGATGTTTGAATTGTCCAGCGGGCAGAGTGGGCGACAGGTGTGACAAGTGCGCGCCAAACGTTGACGAATCATTGGTGGGGGCAGAAAAGTGTAGCAAGTGCAAGAAGGGGTATTGGGGCATTTCTAGTGCTGGCTGCGTGCGTCAGTATTGCTGTTGTTGTTGTTGTCTTTAAGATTTATCACGTTTTTGTCATTCATTTTTACGTGTGTAGAATATTGAACGTTATTTTAAGATCGTTAACACTCAATTAACATTATTAACTTTGTTATAGTTACCTTCATTAATTGTAATGTTACAATTAATTAATTAATTAATTAACAAGCATCGTTGTTATTACCATCATTACAATGACAATGACTTCATCATCATCACCATCATCATCGTTGTCGTCATCATCGTTGAACAGCCTGCCAGTGCAATGCTGTGGGCTCGCAGGACACAACGACATGCAACATGACGTCAGGCCAGTGTACGTGTCAGCCCAATGTCGCCGGCGTCAGTTGCGATCGATGCTCTGATGGGTACACCAATTTCACTGTTGCCGGTTGCTCCAGTTAGTCGGTTGATTCATTACTTGACTGATTGAATGATTGACTGTAATTGTGTGGATATTTTTTAGCAACAGTGTATTTAGGCAGGCACGAGCCTGCCGCATGCGAATGTAATATTCGCACACAACGTTACATACCAACGTTTAAACATCTCACACACAATCACACACACAAAATTACACTCAAACATTTGTTCAAGCTTTCACACACACATACAAACAACACACACACATACATGCACACACACACACATGTGTAAACAGCTTGTGGTCGATGTTACGGCCTAGTAGTAGATCAGATAAACAAAATCATCAAAGTGTCTAGCGACCAAACTTCCCAGATCAACGGAATTTCCAATGCAACTTTGTTCGCTTTTGCTAACAGGCTGGTGAAGGCAGAAGCTGATTCTAAGTATTTGAAAACCATAGTGAGTGATTCAATAGGATCTAAAAGTTTAACTACATTTTATTTTAATAATTAAGTATTCATCCCTCAAAATTATAATTTGTTTCCATATTGTATCGACTTAATTTGTTGTCGGTAATCAGGTGGCGGACTTGAACACAAGCCTGCCTTCCTACTCCGACTACATAGAAGAACTAGATGTCATCTACCAAATATTTGATGCCAGTTTGGACACTGTCCTCAGAGTGCTGAGTGACGCAATCGCAAAGTTGCTGGACTCCATAAAAACCAACCAGGCACACGCGCGGACGTTCGCCAATGAAGCTTCACTGAAGCTGCTGCAACTTTCAAAATCATTTCCAGGTGAGTGATTCATCACGTTGGAAAAACATTACAATGATTATATATTCAATGGTAATTTGTAATTATATATATTATTACAAATATTGCCATTTTTATCATAAAAACTCTTAAAAATATTTTCATCAGAAATCTTCAACATTAGAATCTCTTCAAATCACCATCTTCATCACCAACACCATCACAGCTTACCTGTTGAAAACAAGCCAACTGAGCAATTTGTCTGACTCCTTGAATCAGATGAATCAGCAGTTCTCTGGAGTTTCATCACCGATCAGCAACAGTTTCGCCGTCCTCAACAACAGCGTCATTACATTGGAATCGAACTCCAACATTTTAAACTCCAACGTCATTAACTTATCCACGGTATTTTAACAATTAATTACGTTTAAACATAGATTTTTAAATTAATGTCATAAAGTAAAATTGAACATATTATTTCAGTTGTGCCTTCGTATTAATTATTTTTTTGTATTTTCCAATTAATACACTTGTTTCATTTGTATTTTCCACCCAATGAGAATCTGACGCAGCAAATAATGACGAAGAACACGAGCCTCGTGAACGATCTAAACAACACAATAGAGAAAGAAATTGCATCGTTGAACGTTTCATCGGCCAGCCTGAAACTGGGGACAGCAGGCATCAAACTGACCGCCTTCAACCAACTGACGTTCAACAGTACCGTCATCTATAATATGGTCGGTGAGAGTTTCTTTAAGCGTTTTCTTGCCAATATTATCGAATGGGTAATATTCAAAAAAAATATTTTTTTGCATTGTTTACGTTTTCATTGCTAATACCACCACCAACATAAAAAAACCACACCCATTGTCGAACACACACACACACACCACACACACACACACACACACTCTCACACACACTCTACACAACCACACACACACACAGATATACAGACATACTTTTACACGTCTATAAAGAGAAACACACACAAACCCACCAACATCGTCATCAACATCTTGCTTGCAGATTCGTAACGTGAACTTCACTGGAGATGACGTCATAAATGTATTAGCTCTGGACGACAGGTTCACCGCCCTGCAGAACAACGCTCTGGATCTCGACACGAGAGTCAGTTTCATTCTTACTATTTCATACATTTTTCTGTTTTCTCACAATTTTTTTTTCATTTTTTAACTATATTTTTGAATCTTTTAGTTTTCACAGTTCAGTGCATCTGTCAGCTGTTCTATTAAACGCATACAAACACAAACAATGCAGGTCAAAACAGCAAGCAACCAGACTGCCCCGTTGGAAAATGAAATTCAAAACTACACCCAACTGACCACAGACCTCCTGACACGTGCCAACGTCTATCTGTCTCAAGCAGCCACCGTCAATGGCAGAGTGACCACAGCCAGCGCGAAGGCAGACCAGGCTCTCAACCAATCCATAACGGTCACCAACAATGCAGCTAACATGGCTGACGTCATGAAGAACTTCAACGACAAAGCCAACGGTAGGTCTTACTATTGTGAAAATATGCCCTAATTATTTTTATTTTTAAACGAGACAAAAAACAACTTTATTGAATTTCATTACAAAAAGGAATAGACAAATTTTATCATAAGTTAAGCTTCTAAATAAAATTTTTACATCGATGTTAGATTTTTCAAACTCCTACCATCCAAAAACTTTTAACATCCAGCTCTGATTGCACAGTCGTCAGGCATCATTCAAACAGCCAACAACAACATCAACATGATCACATCGGCGAGCACGACTGCACTGGCGATCATAACCGCAGTCGACCCTCTGCTGCAACAATGCACAGCTGCCTACGGCATCGCTAATTCAACATACGATCGCTGCATGAGTTTCAATGCAGTTCGTATATTTTTGTGGCATTTGTTTGCTTGTTCTTTCGAGTGTTGGGAGTTTTTGTTGTTATATAACATTGCATGAAACAAAAATTCTTAACTTTGTAGACGCTGACTCCAGTTATGACAAAAAGTCGCAACTTAACTGATTCAGTCAACCAGAATCTCAACGACGTTAGCTTCAAAATGTACCAGGCTAGTCGAAACGCTCTCAATTCATACAGCAATGATATCGACGGATACAGCACAAAAGCTAGCGACTTGGATAACGCTGCGGCTAAAGTGCGCAGTTTGGCGAACGCAGTGGGAAACAACATCACAGATACTACGAAAGTTCTCAGTAACTTGAATACTCGACTGGATGGAATCAATCCTCCCGCCATTGATATGGTTAGTCGGTTTGATTCATTTCAATCGGTTAACGTTATGCGTGGCTACATCAGTCGTGCCTGAGTCTTTGTGAAGTTTGTAGTTGTTCAAATGTTCATGGACTCAAAAAAATGTGCAAGTTGAATTAAAAAAAATTTTTTTATTTATATCTCGCCATGCCTAGATTCACCGAAAACATCGCATTCAACTCCCGCCACTTTACGTACTGCAGGTGACCGCACTACTGAACGACTGCCGAGCCACGAAAGTGACGTTCGACAGCTACAGCTTGCCAGCTGCCGTGCAGAAACTGCAGAACGATTTCCTGCTAAACAAGCAGTGGTTGGATGACTTGACGAAGAAACGCGATGATCTGTTACTTCAGAAAAACAGAATGAAGGTGGTTATGTCGCAACTATCTTGAGAAAACGTCAGCCAGCTATCAACCAGCTATCTATCCATCTATCAATCATTTGCTAGGATACAAAATATGATATGCAAGCACATGAACGAACGTGTACACTATTCATACTTAACTTAAAAATACAGAGATACAATAGTTAACTGCACGGGATAGGATATGTTTAAATTTATTAATAAATCTTATCTTTCAAGTTTTTTTTTCTACTTTCCATGTTTCTATTAATATATATAATCATATAGCACATGCATACTTTTCAATGATTTTGTCGTAAATTTTTTCTTCTTGTTTAAAAATTAAATACAATTAATTAACCATTATAAATAAACAAGCAGGCGAGTGTTCGTAAAAGCGTGCTAATTGTAAAGCCAAAATTCATTTTCTCCAAAATATTTTTTATTCATCGCAGATAGCAATGGCTGACTCCAAGCATTATTTATTTTCAGATTCAACATTTGAAAATTTATTTTCAGATTTAGCGTTTGTTAATTTATTTTCAGATTTTATAATATTTATAAACTTTTAATGTTTATAAACTTATTCCTTGAACAGTGTATATAGCCATATTTAATTTAATTCAATTCCATTTTTAAACATTTCAATTTAATTAATTCAATTATTTGACGTATTTCCTTATGAATCATTTACAATTAAAACCAATATACTTGTTTTATGTGTTCGAAAAAGTTCTTCAAAAAAAAAAGGTATTTTTATCTATTTATCGTTTAAAATTTAATAAAATATTTCATTCGTAATCAACCAAATAATTAACTAATTAACTGATTAATTAATTGATTGATTGAATGAAAAATAAATAATAATAATTATATTTTAAAAGAATTGAGGAAAAAAATTGCTAGACATAAATTACTTGAAATAATTAATCATAAAAACAATAATAATAATTATTATTATTATTGCAACGACACAAAACCAGCGATTTAACGATTATTTATTCATAAAAGTCAAAAATAAAAAGAATATACAATAATGAAAGGATAAAATAATAATAATAATTATTATTATTATTATAATTATAATAGATCAAATAAATACAATTTTAATGCAAACCATAACTTGAAAAAATCCATGATAAAGGTGATAGTGATATATATATATATATATATATATATATTATATATATATATATGTGTGTGTGTGTTTGTGTTTTAAGTTTATTTATATATATATATATATATATATATATATATATATATATATATATATATATATATACATACATGTGAATGTGACTAAATTGTTATAAATTTATTTCTAAAGAATAATGGCTGGCTTGATTAATTGATTGGTTGATTGATTAATTAACTAACTAACTAACTAACTAATTAATTAATAATAGTAACAATAATAAAATATGGTACACACGTAGAATTTAAATAAATAAATAATAATAATAATAGCAAGAAAAAATAAAAATGGTAAAATCAGCATACGAAATGCACCTTATAGGAAACAATTCCATTGCTGATATGAAGCGAGTACCAATGCTATAACAGTGAACTATTAACAAATTTTCTTCAGTAATAATAATAATAGAAATGATAATAAATAAATAATATTAATAATAAATAAATAAATAAAAATAATAAGGAAAGAGTTTTCAAAAGCCCAGGATTTCTTTAGAAATCATCGCGAAATCAAGAAGTAAGTCAATAATATCATCAATAAAAAACCGAAATAATAATAAGAATAATTATCAACAGTAATAATTTTAATAATATTATTATTATTTATTTATTCAATTTTTCATAGTATACATTATTTTTATTAATTTCCATACAAAATCATGTTCATAAAAGCTGATCGCAAAACAGAAATGATGATATATAATATTAAATAAATAAAAAAGAGTTAATCGATATACTTACAATATAAGATAAATGAACAAACATAAAATATTTAATTAACAAACGAACAAACGATCGAACAATCGAACGAACGAACAATCGAACGAACGAACAATCGAACGAACGAAGAAACAAACAACAACAATAATAATAATAGTAGCAACATAATTGAATAAATAAATATTAGTATTTTAATTTTAAAATGGAAAAGACTCGAATATAATAACCATAAAACTATATATATATATATATATATATATATACTTATACATACATAAATATATATATATATATGTATCTATATATACATGTCGATCTATTATTTAAAAATATATAGAAAATAGCAGATATATATACACAAATATATGTATATTGATGATTTTCGTATTCGTATTTCGTATCATCAATTATTGATGAAAATTACAGCATGTTCCGCATTAGTTAGGTTCCTGATTAATTTTTCGATTTTTCTAAATTAATCGATTTTTCGATCATTGTCAAGTTTCTTGAGTTCAAAAAACTAAAATTTGTATTTATTTTAAGCATGATAGAACATTTAAGCATGATAGAACCAAAAAGCTTTTTACGGTATTCCTATACCAAGATGGTATAGTAAAACTATTTAATATATTATTCATTTATTATTTAATACTACTGTAATTGTAATTAATAAATAATACTATGGCGACACACACACACACACACACACACACACACACACACACACACACACACACACACACACACACACACACACACACACACACACACACACACACATATGCGTGTTAGCGTCTACGTTTGTGTACATTTATATACATGTGATTTTGCAGTAATGTGTGCGCGCGCATGTATTATCCGTGTACAAGGAAGGATATACACAAAAATATACATGTTTAAGCTGTTCAATGAAGTTGTTCATCATCATTTCATCACCATCATCATCATCGTCATCATCGTCCTCGTCATCATCATCATCATTGTATGTCATCATCGTTTTGTGATATAAGTAGGAACTGTCATCATTATACAACATCACTAATTACAGCCTTCATTATTAATATTGTCATCATAAAAGTTTTGAAATTAACATCATCATCGTCATCATCATTGTTGTTGTTATCATTATTATCATTTCATTACGTTATCACTCTTATCATTGACATCGTCGTCGTCATCATCATCATGTGATTGTGATAAAAAAAAACTACAGTGGAAGGCAATGTGATTAGCTGTTCTTTTTAAATAATACTCTAGCTTTTGAGAAAAGAAGAAGAAAAACTAAAGACATCATCATTATCATCATCGTCATCGTCGTCATCATTACCAGAGAAGTGGGAAATCAGGATAGGGGCGGTTCAGAATCCGGGGGAGGAGGAGGTGGAAGATGGGAGTACTGGGATGTTATCAAGTCTCGCTGCTGCACCAACTCCTGATAACGATGTCATGATGATGATGATGATGATGATGTGATGATAATGATGGTGATGTTGTGATGACGACGTGATGACGACTGCAGTGATGATTGCGACTACAACGACTTAACGATTAGCTAGCTAACTCTTTACAATATTTTGTCAAGTCAATAATTTTTAAATTAAATTTTTTTTATTTTACTTTCCATGCTTATTATGCTTAAACACTCTAGCTTCGTTAATTATTTTCCGCTACTATTTTATACCATGTTTAAACAATAATAATAATAAAAAATCTTGACGGATTTCTCACCTGTAATTGTTTAACAAGCATCTCCAGCCTCTGACCCAGTTCCAGGAGGGACTCCACAGGATCCCACTCCGATGTCTTCCCGCCTCCGCTAGCGTCATCGATGACGTCATCGGGGAGTATGCTGAAGAAGTCGATCATCTCGTCGAGGATGTTGTTGATGGCCTGGATGAAGGAGTTGCTGTCCAGCGTCGGCGGCAAGCTCTTTCGCGACTGTTTGTTGAGGTTGAATGTTGATGTTGAATGTTGATGTTGAATGCTGATGTTGAATGCTGGTGTTGAATGTTGGTGTTGAATGTTGATGTTTAATGTTGACGTTGAATGTTGGCGTTGAATGTCGGTGTTGAATGTTGATGTTTAATGTTGATGTTAGTGTTGTTTGTTGTTATTGGATGCTGATGATGTTTATTGTTGTTGTTAATTGTTGTTGTTTAGGCATACGATGATTGCTTTTGTAGGTAACGTTCGTTGTTAGAATATGTGTCAGTTGCATATTCTACTTCTGAGATTCTAGAAGCAACGAACGACGCAATGAAAGATAAGACTAAAACAATGAGAAAAATGCAATTACCGTCACCTAGAACAAACACAACTACTAAAAAAATAACTAAACAAGATACACAGGACATGAAATCAAACTACTGAAACGAAATGAAAAGTGCAAAAAACAAAGTGAAGCGTACAAAAGTTTGAATGGACGAGGCTAGATGGTGCATCTCCGAGAGAGCCACTAACTTCTCCACCATCAATTCGTATGTTGCTATGATCTGCCACTTCAACTCATCCTCTGAGGTGAATTAATGCATTCATTCATTCGTTAGCTCATTAATGAATGTTCATTCATTCATTCATTCATTCATTCATTCATTCATTCATTCATTCATTCATTCATTCAACCATTAATTCAACCATTCCTTCATTCATTCATTTATTTATTTATTCAATCATTCACGAACGCATTTGCTTGTACATAGTTACTCATTCAACAGTTCATTTTTGCGTCACAATATCATTCCTTCACTCGCATATTTATTATTACATTCATTCGTTCGTTCCTCCATTCTATCATTCATTCATCCTGCCACACAACGAAACAAACAAGCAAACCAATGAACTAACAACAAACAAAAGTAGAAACGAACAAACGAACGAACGAACCAGGACTGATGGGAGATGTTGGAAGATCGGCAGCTGATGCATCTTCACTCTCGCCCCTCTCGTTCTCGTTCGAATCATTTGCTGTGCTGCTTTCGAAACTGCACGAATGAAAAAATGAATGAATGAATGAACGAATGAGCGAGTGAAAGAATGAAAGAATTGTGAATGAATGAATGAATGAATGAACGAATGAGCGAGTGAAAGAATGAAAGAATTGTGAATGAATGAATGAATGAATGAATGAATGAATGAATGAATGAATGAATGAATGAATGAATGAATGAATGAATGAATGAACGGGTAGATCAATGAAATAATGGATAAATAGATGAATAGATGAACAGCCGAACGATTCAACAGAATTGCCACAACACTAATTAAAAAATTTAGATAAATCAGCGAACCAACCCAGCGTCAGTGTTATCATAGAATGTTGAATTTCTGCTAGAAAGTGATGACGATAACGAGTCGATTGTCGCGGAAACCGATGTTGTCGTTGTTGCTGTTGTTGTGGTAGTAACGGTCGTTGCTGACGTCGCTGCTGAAGATGTTGATGACGAGATGTTGCTGTTGTTGTTGTTGTTGCTGCTGCTGTTGATGATGACACTCTGTCGCGGTTGTTGGGCACTGTACTGGTTCTTGTAGTGTTCTACCGCTTCTCTAATGTTCTTTGTCCAACTGTTGGCGTTTGTGTGGTTGTTGTTGTGTTTGTTGCATTTCTTGTTGTTGTTGTTGTTTCTAATGTGTCTGCTATTTATTTTAAAATAATAATGACGTTAACAAAGCGCCATATTGATCGAGCAACCGAGGTGAACATTTTAAAAGGCTTCACTAAAGAGCAAGAAAGAACTACATGCCGTGTCAGTTGTTAGATATGTTGTCATTAATAACATAGTTTATATTACCAACATGACAATAATATTCATCGTCATTATCATCGTCATCATCGTTATCATCATGGTCATCAACATGGCCATCGCCAACAACATCGTCAACAACAACATCATAATCTTCTCTTACTTATTTCTAAGTATTGTTGTGCTGGCAACGAGTTTGTACATTTGTGAATCCTCCTTCGACGCGCTCACCAGGTAGAATGATTTTGGATCTGTTGTCGTCATCAATAGTCATCATCATCATCATCATCGTCATCATCAATAGTACCATCATTATATTCATCCCCGTTCTCAGTACCATTGCTGTTAACATCATCAGACAAACCATCATCCCATGTTCATCAACATTAATACCAGAAAGACTACCCATAAATTCATCACAATGCCATCATCATTTGCATCATTCGTCATCATCATCTTCATCATCATCATGACCAAAACGACCTCTGGGGACGTCCTTGATCATGAGGTGACTGAGCTTGATGATTGGAACTTGCATGAACTTACTCTTCACGTTCTCAATGCCTGTACTCTGGCATTTCAGCACCAATCTGATCGTCATGATGATAATGATCATTATATTTATCACATTATTATTTTATTATTCTATGGTAATGACTATGATGGCAATGATGATAATGGCATAAGTTGCAATGAAACTAATCATAACGACAGCACAAGAGTTATCTAGACAAGATAGCTAGATAGCAAGGTAGATGGATGTATGGATAGATAGATCGATGGGCAAGACAGACGGACAGACAGACAATCAGATAGATAGATAGCTAGATGGTGACGGACCAAAGTGAGACTTACTTGTTGTCGACCTTGTGCATGATGATCAGGATGTCTTCAAAGAGGGCGATATGTAGTTTGACGACTGTGGAGTTCGTGGGATACCACTGTAACTCCCCATCAAATATTAACTTGCGCTCCGTCAGGTTCAGGTTCTAATCGTTTGAAGAAATAAATATAAAAGAAGGAACAAAGTATGAGAGAATGAATGAAAAAATGAATAAATGAACGTGTTTTTATGTTCTTAAACGTACCCTGTACTCGATAAGGACAGGGTGGTTAACGTTTTCAATGGACTTGGTGTCCAGTCTCTTCTGCATCTCTTGGGTGTGCCTGAAGTTCTCGCACTCCTTGATGACTTGATTAACATAAGATAGAATGGCTCTGAGGTTTTCCAGTGCCATCGTGATGTTCTGATGTTCCGTCGTATTGGCTGGTCAGTTGGAGTGGATATAGTTGAAATAAGTTTCGTTTGTCATTCTTGTTTAAATAATATTAACAAAGTCGTCAACATGGAAAACACCATCAACATTGTCATCGCAACCCATCATTTTCCTCCTCCTCATCGTCTTCCTCCTCATCATCATCATCTTCCTCCTCATCACCATCATTCATCACAACCAACGTGGAGTGACTTTGAGGACAGTGTCAACAAGTAGCGGGTACTTGGTCAGTCTCTGCATGATTTTCGGTAGGAAGTCTTTTAAGGCCATCTTGCGACAGACATTTTTCTGGGATATCATCTACACGTATTCATTGTTGATTAAATGAAATTTAATAACAGCACTTGAATAACACTGCACAACATAACATAACACAACGAAACTCAACACACAAGAACAACATAAAACACAACACAACACCCAGCACAACATGCAACAGCTCAACAAAACATCCTACAAACATTAAGAAACTGGGCCAGATATGGATCTTGTTTCTGCTTCTCAGCCAACAATCCCAGGTAATAGTATTGATCTCGACAAAACTCCGAGTACTCTCTCTCAAAATTCGCCTTGTTCTCGCCAGAAAACTATTTCAATTTAACCGGATTAATTAGATACATTAAATTAATTAATAAACTAATTAATAATTTAATTAATTAGTTAATTTATAGAAATTACAAAATATGTATTATTAAAGTAATATATACGCAATCTGTTTCAATAAATGAAACTATTAACATGAATAAATAAATAAATATCACAAACGATGGTAATAATAAGTAAATATATTGCATATGTATGTATGATATCAGTTGTATGTTAAATCTAAATGCTATATAAGATAGTACATGCATTAAAGATAATAATACAGATATTACGCGTGAAAAATGTGAAAAATTAGGTCACCGACCCATTTAAGTAACACCAGGCCAATTTCACTGACGATTTGATGGTCTTTCTTGCATTCTTTGATAGCAGCGTTCATGTTTTCTAAGAAAAGTGATTGAAAGAATATTATGAAAAAGTTAAATTATTAAACTCTCATCAACTACAAGAAACACCTTAAACAAAAAGTTCTTATCAAATTATCGAATTGATTTTGTTTTGTCACCATCTTCATTAATTAATGTTCAAATAATGATGATGACAATAAATGGCTACAAATTCCTACAAAAACGTCACCATCCTCAACATCTTTATCATCATCCCCATCTTCTTTATCACCACCACTAACTGTGCATCTCGATGAGATTCTCCAGATTGGGCATGAGGTGGTTGGCAAGTTCCGTGTCGATGTTAGGATCCTCCCGCATCGGCTTCAGCATCATCTGGGACATTATCTTCAGCGTCCTCAGGTAGGAACGCTCCGTGTAAAGTATCTCTGGAAATTTTTACGTCGTGTAAATGTGAGTGGGCCGTAGCTAACGTGAAAGTGATGTAGTCGTTTGAAAATTCATTCAAATAACTGATAAGAATTCGTAAGTAAAATTCATTAACAGGTTAATCCTGAAAGCAAGTGTTCACAGTACGTTCTTTAATATATCATCTCATTACTCTCATTACCCTCATTATCCAATTATTTCAATAAAATCAAACTTTCGTTCGTCGCAAGCGTACTGACCGTTGATGACATCTTGTCTCTTCCTGGCCTTCGAGTCGAGGAGTGCCAACTGATCCGACGAGATGACGGCAGACAGGGGTGGAAGTTCCCGTTCCAACTCCGGATCTGAATCCACGAACTCTGCCCGGGACACCGCGGCAGGGATGGCGGGCTGGTCTTTTGAGAAGGTGTTGTTGAACTGACCCGGAAATCTTTGTGGATCATTAATGTTAAAATGTTGTTATGTATGCTAACATACTGCAGTGCTGAATTAACTTTCTTAGTTGGTATCAAGATATTTTGGATCGAACGAAACTTGGGTTGTATTGAAAGAAAGTTAATAAATTTTGAATAAAAGATAACGCATCTAAGCAAACAACCATTCAAAAAAATATAAATTAAATAAAAGGGCAACGAACGAAATGTTGGCAGACCCGGACAGGTTGAATGGGAGGGGTGTGCCCAGGCTGTGCATGGGATCTCCATCTCCAATCAACGTAGCTTCCGAGTCACTGTGTGATTGAATGATAAAATGAATAAATGAACAAAAAAATGATACTATCAAGATAGATACTCACTTGCATATCATTATTTCCATCACCACATCATCATCATCTAAATCATCATCGTCACAATCATCATCAACCTCATTATTACCATCTCAAACAGCCACCCACCTTAGCACACTGCCCTGCCTATCGGCAACATCCGATCCGGCATTTCTGATCCTGATCTTCCTCTTGTGGGGGAGGGAGTTGCTGCCCCAGGGTGCCACCACCCCCGAAGATGATGATGACGATACTGCATCTGTGCAAACAGGATCATCATGTTGTGGTCACTCATGTCATTGTCAACGTCATTATCATTATCTTCGTTATCGTCATTTCTTCGTCATCATCGACAAATTAGTCATACGAGCAATTGATTATTATCATAAAAAAGTCATTACAATCACGCATCATAGAGATGTAATCGCGCATTATCGTCCTCATCACCATCAGATCATAGTCACATCACCGCTACTACCATCGGTATAAACATACCTGATGGGCAATAGAAAGTTGACGATGGATTTTCCTCTCGTGCTGATCAAAATGAAAAAGTTTCAAATCAATCATTCAACCAACCGATTAATTAACCAATCAGTTTTTAATTCAACATGCAGTTCAGTTAATCAATCAATCAGAAATTCAACCATGAAACCAACCAATTTTAGACTGTTCTTTTGAATGCCTCCTAACAGTTCCAGAGCAAACATCCTTGATGGCGCTCAGACAATGCTTGTGAACTGCCATGTCGCAAACTGTGGAATTGATTCGATGGTTGGTTGGTTTGTGTTTGTTTGATTGATTGACGGTGTTTGATTGACTGAATCATTAGTTAGTTGAATAAATAAAGAGCTGAATGGCAGGGTGGCGGGTTGATAAGCTGGAAAACTAGTTGCAGATTGTTTTTTGATATGTCTGTCGATTGATTGCAATGATAATTCATTAAATTAAATGATCAGTAGAATCAAGCAATTAATACCAACAAACTGACAAAAAAACTCATAAATCAAATACTACATGCAGCTAACTAACCAACAATCCAATCAACCAGCCACACAAGCAGTCGATCAACCAGCCACACAACCAGCCAGCCACACAACCAGCCAGCCGACCAACCTCCACACTTGTAGCACTGGTAGCCGACACCCCAGATGACCTGCATGCACGCCTTACATTCCACTTTCACAAACACCGCATACTGGTGCGGCTGCAATTGGTGACCTTTCAAGGTTAGCTGAATAATTTATTACAAAATTAATTATTACAGCATGACTAATTTATATTTGAATTCAGTAATTCGTTAACTATGCTGCTGCTTTTATTCTTATATAATACAACTTTCTACAATTCAATTCACATGAAAACATGCGAATTTAAAAAAAAATACTTGGTGACATACAAACATAAACACAAACACCTTCTTTCGAACGCTAACAAAGAAATAAAACGAAACGTACTTTCTTCATTCTGTTCTTGAGGGCTCGCTTCTCCTTGCAAACAAACGATGGAAAGTTCTCGAAGAGGGCCTGGTTCGACCTCGACACTTGCAAGCCGACCTGCCGAAAGAAGGTGGCCAGCGAAACAGCGATCGCCAATTTGTTGTCGTCTTTATCGTCTGCCAAGTAGGAGAAGACATCCCAGAGAATCTTCTCGATGTTGGAGAGTTCAAGGCTGGAGAGAGATGAAGAGGAGGAAGAAGCGTGCAGCTGTTGATGACGATTGGCCAGTGAGTTGCTGAGGAAAGGATTGCTGGAGGAAGAGAAGGAAGATGAAGAGAGAGGTGGATGCTGCTGCGGCTGCTGCTGTGGTTGTGGTGGTTGCTGTTGAAGGTTCGGCGGTCCGGTGGATGATGTCGTAACTGACGATGATGAATAACTAAGCGGAGGTCTCGTTAGTGATTGGAAAGCGACAGGTGCAGTTAAGGCAGTTGACGATGAAGTCGACGGTTGCTGTTGTTGTTGTTGCTGCTGCTGGTAAAGTGATGAATTTGAAAGATTGGTTGGAGTTGTGTTTGTGGTGCTGGTTGTCGCTGCGGTTGGTTTTGGAAGGTAGTCATCACCCGAAAACTTACCGAAACCTGTGTAACAAAAACATTGAGATTACTGCTGTGTTATTTTTTATGATTTTCTCTAATCTTATCAACGAAGCAACAGCACCAAAATAACTTCCCAGCCAACCAACCAATCCTCCTGTAATGTTGATATTCAGCCAGTTGTTTCTCCATATCTTCTTGAATGTGGTTGATTGCGTTGTGAAAGATGACCCTCAGATTCGATTCCTTGTAATTCCTCAGCGAGGCTTCAATTTGTTGCACCATTTGGACGGGCAGGTTTATGTTCAAAGGCTGCATTGATGGACAAGATGTGAAGTGACGTAATGCGATGATATGATTCTGCTGATTATTAAACATTAGTGATGATACGCTGACGATGATGATGACAAAAGGTTATTAAATCAATCAACCAACCAATCAATCAGCAGCCAAACAACCAACCAACCAATCAGCAGCCAAACAAACAACCAACCAACCAAACAGCATCCAAACAACCAACCGATTTATCTTCAACGAATGTGATGTATATCTCGTAGGCCCACCTCAAAGTCATGGCCGCGTCCTTAAAACTCGACTGGCAATAACTGCGCGTTACCACACTGAATAACTACGGTAAGAACAACAAGTACATCATCAACATTATCACAACAACAACGACACCATCTTAATCATCATCTTAATAATCATCTACTTCATCGTCACAATCTCCATAGTGATAACCAGAGAACTGACCATGTAAGCAGAGTTTGCATTGTCGATGAGGTACTTCAGGAAGACTGACAGGTGCAGAGGGCTTTGTTTCAGTAAGTTCAGGTCCTCAAATTCTTTGTACACCAGACAAGGCTGATGATGACAATGATGGGTATGATGAAGATGATGATGACGACGATGTAGATGATGATGTGGATAAGAATGGCGGCGAAGAAAGAAGGAGGCATGAAAACGATGAAAGAGATGGCGAAAAAGTGAGTGGCGAACAAAATCACAAAAATATTACACAACGTTATTCACAATTATCATCTTCATCATTATATCATTCCAGTTATCACAATTATCCTCTTCATCACCATTATAACCCCCATCCTATCGATCATAAAAAATAAACCTCAGTAGTATCTTCATCACCATTAGTATCAAAACCTTCCATTGATATAATATCAGTTGAGGTCGTTTGTGGTGAAAGTAATGAATTGTTGCTGTCAGAATGCCAGAACGTTCTCAAAATTCCGGGTAACTGTTTTTAATGTAATGATATTGATGTTGTTTGTGCGGCATGACGTTGTTTGTGATGTGATGACGATGATGATGTTGTTGATGACGTGTGATAATGTATGTGATGACGATGATGATGTATGCGATATGTGATGACGATGATGATGTGTGTGATCTGTGATGATGTCGTCAATGGCAAATATGTTAACATTTATTTTTAATTCTAAATACAAATAATTGACATACTTTTAAGTGTTTTCAAGATATACGTTAATTTATTCAAATGTTTGTTATATAAGTTATTTTTTGAACCGTCAAATTTATTCAGTTATTTTCGTCCGTTCAATCATTTATTCTTTTATCTGTTCAATCCTCCCTTTTAGTCTATTAATTTATTCACTTATTCGTTCATTTATTCATTAAATCATTCATTCATTCACTCATTCATTAAATCATTCATTTATCCATTTATTCACCCATAGATCTATCAATCCATTTATTTATTTATTTATATTTTAATCCATTTATTCGTTATTTAAAAAAACATTTTCAGAAATTAAACATCGCATCAACAAACCAGGCTGTTGTGACTGTTGTGGCTGCTGTTGTTGCTGCTGTTGGCGGCTGTCGCGACGTCGCCAAATTGTGAAATTTTGTTCTCCAGTTGCATAACCACTTTCAGTTGATTGTCTTTCATCATTACGTTGTACTCAGTTGGGTTTTTCTGAACTTCCATTTTTAGTTTCTGGAATTGTGTAGAGAGAATTTGAGTAAAACTTTTGGGGAGAACATATCCATGTATATTATTATAATTATTGCTATCTCATCATCATACCATCATGATGTTCTAGGTATGCGTTCCATAAAAATGATAGAATTATATTCAACCTTACTCAAGATCTTCATCCATATCAACGTCATCATCGTAAACATCATCACCATCACCATCATCATCATCATCATCATCATCATCACCATATCACACTCCAACAAACCTCAAGTTGACACAAAGCCTGTTCATGCATGGATTTTAACGTTGATAATGCCTGCTGGTCTAGCTCCATGTTCTTACTTTTCTGGCGGTGATAAGAATTATTATGATTAATTATGGTGATCATGAAGATGATAAAGATGATGGTGATATCGCAATTTTTATTATGGTAATGAAAACTAAATGGTAAGCATGATTACTGCAAAACTTGTAACAAGGTTGGTAGCAGCAATTGACAAACAATAATAACTTTAAACACCCCAAAAACCACAAAAATGTAACTACTCCTCTACTAACAGTGACAGGGGCTGGCTTGGAGACCTTATTATTCTGTACCTTCCCAAAAAGTGACGTAATCTCTTCCTCGGTGCACCTGCCCTCCGTGCTGGACGGCCTTAACAAGGTCAAGGACATGAAAGGGCCGGCATCTGAATAGCCAATGAAATTATTTTAGCATTTATTATTCCGTCATAATTATTATTATTACAATTAATATTGCTTATTATTGCGTCATAATTATTATTATTATCATTGGTATTGTTATTGTTTCTGAAACTTTGAAATGTGGAAACTACACGAAATGATAACAAAGATAACAGAATGAAAAGACCTACCAGCATATCTATAATAAAAAGACGTAACTGTGTATAAGTGCGTGTTTGTGTATGTATGTGTTTGTGTGTGTGAGCGTGCGTGTAAGTGTATGTATGTCTGTGTGTGTGTGCGCCTGTATATACCTGTATAAGTGTGCACCTGCATTTGAGTGTGCGTGTATGAGTGCATGTGTCTGCGTGTGTTTGTGTGTGAGTGTACGTGTATGTGTGTGTGTTTACCGTGTGTGTGTATGTGTGTGATCACTGAGCGTAATCTCAATCCCATTGAAATTAAATATGATAAATATAAAGTTCAAAAACTATATCCAGAGCGATAACAACAACAACAATAATAATAATAACTATAAAAATAATAATAACAATAATGATAAACAATAAGACTAATAACACGACCAACTCAAATTGATGTTGCTGTTAACGTCGTACCTCAGCATAAAAATTTATATAAAGTGAATGACGAAAATTTTTTGAAGTTTAATTTATGATCCTGATAGTCAAGTGTTTTATGCCCCTTCATATATAATTTCATGAATACTTAATGGATTGTTGTTTTTGTTTGTTTGGTTTTCATTTTAATGAGATCCGAAGACGACGACGACGACAACGATCCTAATATCGCGTCGTGAATACTTTTCTATTCTTTATAAAGCAGCTCTGCCAAGCGTAGAGCCGCTTACATCTTTCTACACCTTATTCTCGACCTAATTTATAATTGAATCATCTTGCCACAAAAGCCGTCCTATCTACACCACACGATGGACATACACATTATGCCTCTTTGAGTTTCGGACAGGCAGTATTCGAACCATGCCATTGCGTAATAGCAGCGCGAGGCATGGCACTCCCACCGATTGGGCTAACCAGCATGATGACGAATACGATAGTGACTTTGAATAAATGATGATGTTTTGAGTATTGTATTGTTAATTAAATGGGTATATGATGAAATTAAAAAGATAAGATTTCCTATATGGAAGATGATGACAACGACTGACCATGGTGATGTAGATGATGGTATGATAAATATTGCGATGTGGTGATATTGAATGTGGTGATATGTATTATTATTCATTATTCATTGGTTTATTTAATAACAACAATGAGAATACAGGCACACACAAAATTTTAAACAATAAAATGATTGATATCGGTAAAAAAAGTAATATATATTTTAATTAAATAATTTTTAAAGTGTTATGCCTGTGTGTATGTGTGCGTGTGCGTGCGTATGAACAAAAATGTGACTACACACATAATATATAAATATGTGTGCTGTGTTTGTGTGTGTGTACGTGTGTGTTTCGTAGTTTTCGTGCAGAGTAGTGGTGTAGTCTGAACAAGATATTGTTAATTAAAACATTCTTCAATGTTACTAAATATGTGTGTCTTTGAGTGTGTGTGTTGTTGTGTGCGTGTGTGTGTGTGTGAGTGTATGTGTGAGGATACATATCATTATGCACGTGTGGCACACGTAAGTTCCAGTCAAAAAACAGCCTGATTTCAGAGATTTCCGTTCGTAAAACTGCACTAATAATATTTAAATGAGCTAACTAACATAGGACTACAAATTGACAAAAAAAAATTAATGATCACATAAAGCATAAATGCTATGAGCAGTAAATAAGTAAGTAAGTAGTACAACAATTATGGTAATCTCATCAGTGAATAGTTGTTAACAATGGGCATATTGAAGTTGGGGCCAGCTAGTACACATTCATTATCTACATACACATCACGATTTTTCTATATAATACGTGTTTAAATGTGTGTGAGCGTGTGTTTAAATGTTTAAATATACGTATAAATGTTTGTTTAAATGTATGTATTAAATTGTCGTAGAGAAAACAAAAAGCGAACACAGCATACAAAGAAATACATACATCAAACATATCTACAAATACAAGCAATTATTAGCAAGTATTTAAATCTTAAACATATTTCAACCAGGTACACGAGAAGTTATTTATAAGATTATATCCCAGGCACACGCATGCCAGAAGGCAAACGTATATAGTTATACACACGAACATGCACAAATATGCAAACAGATGGACAGTAAACATCACATAATAATTCATAAATACGTTTAAACTTAAGCAAAAAAATAATTACATTCAATTTTTTTAATATTTATTAAATTTTTAAGTATCATATTTATAATTTTTTATATTTTTCTTGTAATTATATCCACACAGAATGTGTTAAAAATAACTGCTCTCGGCACTTATGTAGGCACTACGCAGCTACAACATCAAACGTTTACCATGAAATGTAGAGGCACGAAAGAATAGACAGAAATAGAGAAAAAGGACAATACAAACAAATAAAAGGCAGATAAACAAAAAAAAATAAAAAAAAGCAAAGATAGATAGAAAGAATGAAACAACTAAAGAAAAGAATACATACGTGTTTGTCAAGGGACATGTGATCACTTTTTTATTGAAGTATTTTTTAATTGCCTGTCAGGCAGACGTAATACGGTATTTTATCGCGCTCTCATTGGAGTATCGTGAGATAAAACCCAGGATCGATACGAAAGCAGCGATAAAAAACTTATTAACATGAACAGAACCAACCAATCAATTACTTCATACAGAATAGGTGTAATTATTTTAACAACTATTATTATTATTATTTTATTATTAATATTATTCTTAATAATAATAACATTCTCATTATTATTATTATTATTATTATTATTATTATTATTATTATTATTATTATATCCAGTATTGCGCACCTTTCTCCACAAATTGTTTACGCAATGTTGGTTGTCCTCTAGAATCCCATCATGCTGGAAGAAAGGTTTCACATTGCTTATTCACAAAAAAGGTGACGCACATGATCCTGCCAACTTCCGACCCATAACACTTCAACCTACGCTCTATAAAATATTTTCATCCTGCATTAACAACAAAATGTACAACTTTTTAGAATCAAACAACCTCATCAATAAAAATATCCAAAAAGGTTTTTATCCGAAGGTCGACGGACTGACCGAACATACCCAGCTTTTATCACACATGATCAACGACGCTAAAAGACATCAAAGAACAATAATTGTCATTTTGTTGGATCTTAAAAACGCTTTCGACGAGGTCAGCCACGACCTAATCGCATCCACCTTAGACCATCATCATATACCGCCAATGATCGCTGATTTAATAAAAATCACATACGCCGACTACACCATATCAGTTTCGGGTTGCGACCAGCTTACACCTCCTATCCGGGTCAAACGTGGCGTGCTCCAAGGGGACCCTCTCTCGCCTCTGCTGTTCAATTTGTGCTTCAATCCTTTAATGATAATACTGGAAAAGCCTGAATATCAACAATGCGGCTACATTTGGGGACCTACAGCCAAATTGAAAACGAGAGCATGGATGCAGTTTGCCGATGACACGGCAATTATTGCTAACAGCACGGAAAGTGCTCAAAAGTTGATCGACATCAACCAGGCTTGGTGCAACAAAACGGGTATGAAAATAAGAATAGATAAATGCTCATCATTCGGCATGAGGAAAAAAAATGGTTTTTACGAACAGTTCCTTCCAAAGCTGACCATAGACGAAGGAACTATTCCTCAAGTCGAAATAGGGGGGCACTTTATATACCTTGGCAAAATATATGACTTTGAAGGAAAGGGCACAGAAGCCAAGAAACTGCTAATCGGTAAATTAAAAGGTTTGTTGTCGGTGATCGGCGAACTAGATACGTCAGCACAATGGAAGCTCCAAATTTTAAGACGATACATACCATCACAACTGGCTTTTGAGCTTAGGACATACGTGGTAGAGGCAGTGAGAATGTGGCTGTCATTGCCAATCAGTAGTTGCCAGTCAGAGAGCTTAACACTTCCCTTCAAACTGGGTGGATTAAATGTTAGATCTCTCAAACATTACGCCGAATCTTTGAGGATCAAACTTCGCAACTATTTAAAAGCCAATGGAAACGAGGAGTTAAAATGCCTGTGGAGCAAATCGTTCAGCGACTTCATTAAAATCGACAATATGCTTCCTGACGTCAACGACATCAAACCGACGCTTAAAGCAATAAAAGAACAACAACAAACCGCAGCTTCGAATCATCTGACATCCCTTCAATGTCAAGGAACAATATTAAAATCAATTCAAGCACACATCCCAGCTGTTCGCATAGATCGTTGGTCGAGGTACGTAACATCCCTTCCGGAAGTTCTGTTTAAATTTGTCAGAAAAAGTTTAATCCAACAACTTCCGACAAACGCCAACCTTCAAAGATGGGGAAAATCATCCACTGCACAATGTCCTCTATGCAGCGCTTGCCAAACAAACAAACACGTTTTATCAAATTGTGGCGCGGCGTCGGCACTGAAGCGATTTACAACACGTCACAACAAAATTCTTTCAATAATATTAGATAGGTTGAAATCATGCGCAGGCCCTGATGTCTCCATATATGCAGACACGGATCAAGATAAGTATCAGCCACTATCCTGCCTCTTCAAGACGCTTCGTCCTGACATCGCACTACTTTGCGATAGCAACATTGAAATCCTGGAGTTCACGGTTTGCCATGAAACCAATATTCTGAAATCAAAGGACTATAAAATGACGAAGTACTCTCATAATTTGCAAAATAATTTGACCAATAATTATAAACACTCTAACGTTACAATTAATACATTTGAAATATCCCCTTTAAGTTTTTTTAATACTTTTGATTTGTCTTTTATTAATTTAATATGGACTGGTGATTTTATCAACAACCTTATTTATACAACAATTTCGTCGTCATATAGTATTTACTGTGATAGAAATGCAAATTGAATGAACCATTTAGGACTAACCTTCTCTCGTTGTACACATCCTTTTTATAAGATGACGAGCTTCGGAGATTAATTCAAGACATTTTACTATATACATAAATATTTTTATTTTTTATTTCGATTACCATTGACAATTATTGTTTCTTTCATTTCATGTATGTTTTTACGATGAAAATAAAAAGGTGTTCTCATTATTATTATGCGTTATGCGCTCCTTGCAACGTGAAACAAACTAAAAAACACGTTCTGCCAAACAAATTGTAGTTCCATGGCAGCATACAAACGATACTTCAATCGCCACAACATGATTCTCTCAATAACTGTCTCAAGAACATCGTCAGCAATTATACAAGTGAAATACTAGAATTAAATATTTGCCATGAGACAAACTTTGTCGAGTCCAGGGAAAACAAAGTCGACAAATATACAATCGGTTTCAAAAATAACCTAGTCTAGTGAACGATTTTAAACACTATAACATTTTAACAAATACTTTCGAATTATCTCCCATAGGCTTTTACAGTTCCTTCCACTTAACTTTAATCAAAATTGATGACAGATTATTTTCGCCCTAGCTTATTTATCAGTGTCATATCGTCATCATATGCCATATATTGCAATCGGAACAATGAATGAATCAATTCTTCATAACTATTCTATCATCAATAAACTTATTTTCCTTTTTTAAATGATAAGCAATGATGACCAGCTATTATGATTATGATTTTAATTAAAATTAATGTATAGCATAGGTAATAGAATCGACGGCGGTAAATGATAAAACTTGTAGTAGTGGTAGTTGCAACTGCAGTAGTAACGGCGATTGTGGAATCAACATCGACAAACATTAATACAAATGCACGTAACTATACGTTTTACAAATATTATTTTATAAAATATAGCCCTGTGAAGAAAATATCTCGACAACTGAGAAACAACGTCCAACCATGTTTGCCCGTAATTTTCTGCAGCATGGATTCCTTCCTATTTAATCCACTTTTAAACGATCTACCCTTCTTGTATCTGACCGTTCTGTACCTTTGTAGTGTCATATTCGTGTCATCAGCGTTAATGTCTTTATCGTTTATTTTGCTGCTTATGTTGGTGTCATTAATGTCGTTATGGTTAATACTATTTGCGTTAATGTCATAACTGTTGCAGCTCCTGTCAAGTTTGTTGATACAATTGTTGTTGTTTTCATCACTATTCCTCATGTCATCAATGTCGCCTAGGTTTTTACCGTAGTTGATTGAAGCGTTTGTGTTGTTGGTGCAGTCCCCGGTGGGATAAATGTTTGTGGTTGTGTTGTTCATTATGATTTGTGTTTGGCCTATGTGTAGATGTTGTTGCGCTGACTGCTGAGGTTTTGGTGTGTTGTGTAACTGCGACTGTTGATGTGACAGTAGCTTTGAATTGTGTTGTTGTTGTGACGTACAATGATATGAATGACGTTGATGTGTTCGTGACTGATGTTGTTGGAGATGTTGTTCTTCTAGATGTCCTGTTTCTTCTGGATGAGAAGTTAAGTTCAAAGGTAATGACTTTGTCTGCGATGAGTTTAGTTGCTGATGATGAACGTGCTGCGTGTGTTGCAGCTGTGGTTTTAAAAGTTGTTTCTGCAGTCGTTGTTGTCGTCGGCTGTTCGACATATATGACAATCTCTCCAGTAGCCTTCGAGAACTGTTTTGAATGTTTTTACATAGGGCGATTTCTTTGCAACACGTGCGGTTGTGTGTGTCAGGAACTGTAGCTTTAGCCTCTGCCACAATGTCAGTTTTACTGCTCTCGACTTCAACAGCGTCAGTACAGACGACATCTATGCTGTTCGTATTGTTGTTAATGTCGATAGCATGATCATGGTCGCAACTGCGGGTGCAGTCTTTTACTTCAACAACTGGTTCACGGGATGTTTGACATTCTTGTTGATCTTTCAACTTATTTAAATTTTCATCTGTTTGTGGCTGCAGTTTTTGTTGTGGCAGTGGACAATTTGGTTTTTGACGAAAGACAGCGTTTTTCAACTTTGGAACTTTCTTTGACGGATATCTCAAACTGGTGGCTCTTTTCTGGAAGCCATCTTGAAATACACTAAAACATTTCCTTTGTATCTTAGTAACACCAGGCACACCCCAATCCAGGTATTCCTCAATGCAACCAGAACTCGACAATCTGCCCAGCCTTTTAATATCACCGTCGCCCAGGATCTCGCAATCTTTATAATACAGCAGACCCTCTCTGGCGATCATTTCAAATTTCTCGTAATAGAAGTCGCAACGCCGTGAAACCGGAAAGGACGGCGGTAGTAATAATAATGATGATAGTGACGATGACGTTTGTGCCGCCGCTGCTACTGCTGATGACGTCATCATATCTGACGGGCTTTCTAGAGATTTCACCATATGATAATCCAGATTATGACATAAAGATACTTTCATTATTTTTGTCGGTTAGATTTTTGTATCAACCATATTTAACAACTGACTTAGCTAGCTATATCTATATAAAATACATAAAGATATATATTGTATCTATATTTATCTAAACCATATCAAAATTTACTAAGACGTTGATTACATTAATCAATAATTTATAATTTAGTTACTTTAATGCAGCAGATAAAATACAAAAAATTGTGAAATAATTGAAAAAGTTAAACAAAACAAACAGATATTTAATAATAATTAGTTATGCGGCAAATAACGAATGAAACATAAACATTTAAGAACTGTACTCATAAACTAAATTGAATGAAAAGTCCACCAAATTAATAAACCGACATGGCCAAATCAAGCATATCCTTTTATACATAAAGTATGACACGCATGTCTTATGTATATATATATATATATATATATATATATATTTATACATATACTACTATATATTAATATGGCATGTATAAAAGGAATAAATGAATGTTATTATATCGAATACAATAGATTTAAATGTTAGTTATAAAGCAAATACATAAAATAAGCTTAAAAGAATGGATTTAACCAATCCCTCTCTCTCTCTCTCTCCCCCACTCTTTCACTATCTTACACACACCCACACATAGTAAAAAATTTGATGTATATAACACTTGTATAGAATTTTAAATGATTACCACGAAGCTGTCATCAAGCTTCAAGAACCCATTGGGTCTATCACAACGTGAACACCATATAACAATTATTTCAAAAAATACGTGTGCAAGTGTGAACGTGTGTGTGTGTGTGTGTGTGTGTGCGAGCGTGTGTGTATGTGTGTTTATGTCTTAATATTATTCTTATAATGTACAATATATATATTTATTTGCGTAAAAATTTGATCATATATAAAAGAAATAATCGTTCATATACACATATAGAATTTGATATATTAATTTCGTATAATGTAATATGTATATACACACACTCACACACACAAACACTCATATATATATATATATATATATATATATATATATATATATATATGTGGAGCAGGTCTGGAATATATATATATATATATATATATATATATATATATATAGAAAGAGAAAGAGAGAGAGAGAGAGAGAGAGAGAGAGGAGTGTTTGTGTGTGTGAGTGTGTGTGCGTGTGTTGTGAAGCAGCGTAATGAACATCTTGAAAAGAAAAACCCCACATTGCCTAAATAAACATAAATGTAACAAAGTTGAGTAACAAATGCCCACGCGTTAGCAAGTAGCATGGCAACAAAAATGTATCACTCATCAAAAAATACACATACATATAATATTTGTTTTTTGTATACAAATTATTGACGTTAATGTTATTAACAATTATTACCAGTATTAAAACAACAGCAACAAAAAGAAACAGTGCTTCAAATAATAATGTTCATGTTAACAGCGGGCTCTCTCAAGGTTTTAGAGATCTTTTTTTCTCTATTATTATTGTCAATCAGACGAGAGAGTTAACGCGAAGAGTAGTAGCGGTTGTAACATTTTCAATATCCAGCCTCTTAATTTGATAGATAACAAATTAAAAGAGAAGTTATATTACCAAAGAAAAAAAAGCTTATCTTACACATCAACTACGTGACTACCAACACAAAGGCAAATCATGATCGAGTTGTGAAAGTGAATGGGTTGTGTTGGATTTTGCTTGGTTTTCTCTAATTTCGGTATCGTCGTCAATGTGTGTATGTGTGTGTGTGTGTGTATGTGTATCTGTCTGTCTAAGTGTGTAAGTACTTATTACAAAAAACGGACCACACATAGAAGATTTATTGAGGACATAGAAGCATTTTCAACTATATAATTTGTACATACACATAAGAAAGCAAAAAAGTACTTCACTGAGTACTTCACTAACGCATGTCATAAACGTACATAAATACATACAAACATAACATACGAATCTATATCTATCAGACACATACCTACACACAAATACACACACACGCGCGCACAAACACACACACACGTAGTACGTACATGTTTTGTTGTACACAGGCACGTTTCCACAATAAATTCACGGCCACCCTGCCAATCGATCGATAACGAACGATCAAACACTAATTGTCAGTTGCTAATAATATAATTTTACGTTGCGCTGTGTTGACGATGATGACAATCGGTGATGATGACGACGACATTAATGATGAAGCTATCGATAATAATGATGACGACGATGATGATGAAAATGTTAGCAATTACGATGCTAAAGATGATAATGTTAATAGCTATGCAGAGTATATTTAGGATAGTACTAATGGATGATCGCAAACAATGATCAACTTGGTGATTTTAAAATGAAACAAAATAATTTATAACAACCACAACAACCCCGACAGCCACAGAATAACGACGACGATGATAATGATGTCAACGCTGACGATTATGACGAAGAGATCGGCAAATAAACTTCATCCAAATATCAAAGAGACAGTCGGACAATTAAATAAAACGACACCTACATTCAACTGACATTCAGACGCGCACTTACAAACACACACAAACACACACACACACACACACTTACAAACACCCACATACAAACAAACGCTCACATACACACAAACGCACACATACATACAAACATATTACGCTCACAATTGTAATCTATCTATTTAAGTGTGCGAGTGTATGTATGACACAGCGGGTCACTGAATGATGTCTTCATTTACATTATATAATCAGCTTAACACTTCAAAAACTTGAAATGAAAATTAAATATTAATTACTATTAACAAGAGACACAAATGATGACATCGTTGGCAAGAACAGCAACTACAACAAGATAAATGTAATAATAATAATTCGTGTATATATATATGTATGTGTGTGTGTGTGCGTGTGTGTTACTTTAGTAAGAAACATAAAATAGTAATAGTAAATCTATATTTTGTATACAGAAAATACGTAGCAAATTTTACAAATCTAGAACAACGTCAGCCAATTTATTTTTTTTTACCATTTAAATAAAACACGACCTTCATAACAATGACACAAAAATAAGGTCAGGTCAGGGCATTTGCATTTATCTCCAAATACGCATCTCCAAACTGACCCAATATTCAGTAAAATTGCCTGCTAATAGTAGTAGCAGTATATCCACACAAAAAAAAAGATCAAAGGTAGCATTGTTAATATCTGTAGTAAAAATAATTGTAGTAATGACAAAAATATGAATAGCAGCACAAGTTGTTGTAGTAGTAGTAGCAGTTGTTGTTGATGTGATTCTAGTTGTAGTAGTAGTAGCGGTAGTAGTAGCGTAGCGACAGAAGCGGCAGCGATAATAAAAGCAGTGGCAATAACAGTAGTAGTAGTCTAAGCATTATCAGTAGCAATTAAAATGGCAAAATACAAACAACAGAAGTAACAGTAATAGAAACATTATTAACGATGTAGTATAATAATAATAGTAGTAGCAAGAGTAGTAGTAGCAAGAGTAGTAGTAGAATGAGTAGTAATGAGTTTTTGAGAAAATGGATAAAAAACTTTAGCAGTGGTAGGAGAGAATTTAACAAAAGAAGCTTTTATTCTCATTTTGTATTGAAATTAAATGAGTTGTAGGAACCAATACAACGAACAAACAATTCAACTATATGACATGAGTAAGAATGGTTGATGACTAATGATGAGTGAGTGAATGATTGAGTGAGTGAGTGAGTGAGTGAGTGAGTGAGTGAGTGAGTGAGTGAGTGAGTGAGTGAGTGAGTGAGTGAGTGACACAAATGATGGCAGTGATGTGTATGCAACAATATGATGATGATGATTATGAGTAATGTGAGTGAAGATAATGATAATCATTATGATGATAACGATGATGATGACTTATAATAGCTGTAAATTATGATAATGATGTTGATGAATAGCATGACCGGTGATGATAAGAATGGCTTGAAACATCAGTGGAAATAATGATGACGAACAACATAGAATGATAACAACGATAAAAATGATGATAGTACAAATTATGATAACAATGACTAACTTTGAAAAGAGTTGACAACAGACTCGTGACCTTGCTTGGCAACCAGCTTGCCGTTAATCTGAAGTCAAATTTATTTATATTACCATTTCAATGATAATAATAACTATTTATTTTCTAATTGATAATATTTTATAGCATTTGTAAAAAGAACATTGAAGAGCAAAAATATGTGATTAATTAGTTGGCAGTCACGTCAATCAATCAATCAATCAATCAATCAATCAATCAATCAATCAATCAATCAATCAATCAATCAATCAATCAATCAATCAATCAATCAATCAATCAATCAATCAATCAATCAATCAATCAATCAATCAACCAATCAATCAATCAATCAATCAATCAATCGACCAACCGACCGACCGATCGATCTAAGATTTATCTATCTATCTATTAATCATCCAATTAATTAGTCAAGTCAATCAATAAATCAACCGTTGAATGAATGAATGAGTCAATCAATGATAATAATGAATGGACCAATAAATCAATCAACCAGCCAACCAACCATTCGTTTGATTGACTGAAAAACTAAAAAAAGCAGAAGCAAACCTTAAATATGATATCACCCTCCCTGACGTTATTTTTAGCAGCGACTCCATCTGTGGTGTGAAAATTATTTTCTAATTCTTAGAAGAAAAAATTTGTTTCCATAATTTTTTTATCATCATCTCAAGTCAAAACATGCGTGTTAGAATTTTTGTACTTTAAAAAAAAACATAGAAAAAATAATTTTGAAAATCATGAAAAAAAAATATTTATAAATATAAAAAATAAGCACGTGATCGTTGGAAGGTCGGATGCTGTTTCATCAAATATTGCTCCTACGTGACGACATCCGAATAAAGAGACTTACATGAGTGTTGTGTGTGTGTTTGTGTGTTTATGTTTGTGTGTGTGTGTGTGGTGTGCGTGCGTGCAGTTGTTTGTTCTTCCAATCAAGCAAGGTAGATCATTTTAATTTGGGAACGTCAAGTAAATATACACACAAACATCTATATACATATCACTCACACATACACATACATACACATCCATACACAAAAAAACATGTATTTTTATTTAAAACATTTATACTATATCGATACAAATATGTTTATGCAACAACAATAACACAATACGTACAAATATAATCGAAATATGAAGACACATTTTGATGCACATACATAAGGGAGGTATGTTAATCTATAAGGTTGATTGAAATATGATACACCAGCTATTTTTTTTAAATATTTTTAAACACACGCACGCGCGCGCAATCATACACACATGTAAAATATATATTTGTTATATATGTGTGTGCGTGTGTGTGCGTGTGTGTATGCGTGTGTATGCGTGTGTGTATGCGTGTGTGTGCGTGTGTGTATGCGTGTGTATGTGTATATATATATGTGTAACCAAACTGCATATAAATGCAGCACTCAGGTGCAATCCAGTGTACATACAATACACATCAATGAAATCAGAAACATCAAAACAAGTGCTTTCATTACAATTAGTATTAGCGAAATTGGTATATATTGTATTGCATAAAAATAAATCATGTGTATCAACATTTGATATATCCTACTTTAGACACGGTATCTCTTATCTAGTCAACAATTTTTCAACTTTTTATAGATAATATAATCAAAAGAAAATTTTAATTGAGTTGTCAAAGGTATAATAATTTGGTTCGAATTAGTAAAAAATAAAATGAAGATGAGGTAATGATATGCCATTTGGGTGATAAGGTTAATAGTAGTGATAGTGATAAAATGACAGTGGTACTACTACAAGTAGTAGTAGGTAGTAGTAGTAGTAGCGGCAGTAGTAGTAGCAAGCAGCAAAAGCAGCAGAAGTATCAGCAGTAATATCATCCCCAATCATTCAGTACAATCCCTGTTGAGTTGATATTGCTCTAGACTTATAAAGAGCATTTCAGTTTTTTTTGCTGCACTATTCATATTCTTCTGAGGAAAAACAACATTCTCTACAGAAGAAAAAATGTAAAAAAAATAAACAAAACAACATAAATGCAGTTGAAGAGAGCCAACCAATCAGCACGTCGCACCAGAAAACAAACATGTGAACAAACAAACAAACATACAAACGTGCACACGCTAAAGATGCAAACAATTTAATTATACAACCGTGCTATGTCTCCTTTTAAAGATGCAAACTCGAGCATAAAAACGTTGTGTGTATAAGTGTATACGCATACATATTTGTGTGTGTGTGTGTGTGGTTTGTGTGTGTGTATGGGTGTGTGTATGGGTGTGTGTATCAAAATTATACTGAACAAGTGTAACAAAACAAAAGAGAAATGAGAGTGTTATCATTTTCGCAATAATTTGTTTCTTTTTAATTTTCTCTTTAGACTTTATGAAAAATAATGCCAAATAGAAAATTGTTTACATAACAGAGGAACTTATGGGTTGATTGAAGTGAGGCCAAATTCATTACTCTGTACTGTATGCTATGCATACATACAGAAAAGCAGCATAGTATATAAAAAAGTAAACTGCATTAGAAGGCAGAAATAAAAATAAATATTTAGATGTTGTTGTTTAAAAAAAAGGTCAAAAAACGGAAAAAATACAAATTTAAAAAAGTCGATCTCAAGCATTTCAAGAGATGCAAAATAGAAAGAAAAAAAACACTACAAAAAATAGCTGATGAAAAGTTGAAACAAATACCAAACGAGCTTCATACAAAGTGTAATCAGGACATCACCAATCAAAAATTAATGAATAAAAAAAAACAAATTAACTTGAGAATTAAAAACGTGAATAAACAATAAAACGAATGAATGGATGAATGAATGAATGAATGAGTGAATGAATGAATAAATGAATGAATGAGTGAATGAATGAATGAATGAATGAATGAATGAATGAATGAATGAATGAATGAATGAATGAATGAATGAATGAATAGATGGGCATCTAACTCTCTCTGACGGAGTTGACCAGAACAGGCTGCTGACCTCTCAATGTGATGCCGTAGCCTCCTTCTTCCTTCCTTAGGACCACCTCTATTTTCTCTGTTGAATTTCATTCGAAAATTTCTCACAATTACATCTTGTTTCTTTTTTTTTTAAATTGAATATCATTTCTTTTTAAAAATGCACATATGGCAAATGTTTTAAATCAACTAGTATTTTTTTGAGTTGTGAAATGGGGAAAAAAATAGCACAGGAGCTGTTACCAGGCTAAAAATATACTCCAACGCAGCAACTTCCATCATGAAAACAACATTCTTTAACGTTGTAATCACGTCATCTTCATCCTAAACATCATCATCCTCATCTACTTGTGAATATCATCACCCTCAGAAACATCATAATCGCAAACATCACGTAACTAACTCACCGTAACTCTTCTCGAGATATTCTGTAGATGCTTCAGACATCGGTTCATCTGCTGATGCACCTGTAAACTTTTCCTGTGGTTTGCTTCCTCTGCGTTGTAAGATTTTTTCAACTCTGAAAGTGTTTGTCCTTCAACATTATTCAACAGTTGTCGTACAGTTTATCTCTAGTTTTGTTTAACCTTAGTTTAGATTAATTTTTGTACAGTTTAACATGTATGTTGCATGACATTCTGCTTGTTTTCAGCGAAACTAATTGCAATGAACACCAGCCAATGCACATTTATATTACCAGCGCGTTATTTACGATAACCTCTCTGTACCATCCCCTTGAGTGTAAAAGTGTCTGATCGCTATTCGTACACACACACACACACACACACGCACAAACACACACACACGCACGCGCGCACACATGCATGCACAGGCATATAAATATATAATCAAATAGAAAAAAAACCACAGACAGATGCATTCAAATACGTTTACACAAATAACCAAACGTACATAAGGTCACTGATACTGTTTTTATAAAAATGAATTTGTAAGGAGGAAAGCACAAAAGTTGTTGGTTGATAACTAACTTCTTGGCAGTTGTGCTGTTGTCCCTGCTTTTGTTCCCAACCGATCCGAGATCCGCCATTCTACTTTTGTGGGAAGAACTCTTCTTCACTTCTTTTGAAGTAGAAGCCAAAGATTTGAGAAGACTTTCCTTCCGGAACATTCCACCTGTTTCCGGTTTAGAGAGAGGTGAACTATCCTTACGACGCATGGAGTTTTTGCGCACCAGAGGGCAAGGTTTATTTGTAATGTCGAGGTCACTACATTCTTCCAGGCTGTTGTTGAGTTGTTGCTGCTGCTGGTAGGTTCTCTGTATTTGGGGTTGCGACTGAGGAGATACTTGATGAGAGGTGAAACTGGTGTCGTGGTTATTGTTATCGCGGACTAGTGTTGCATTATTTTTGTTTCTAAATGTGATGTCGTTATCGTTTTCACCGTTATTGTTGTTGGAAAGATTTGTGGCCAAATGTGGGCGTTCATCGTCGTCGTCGTCACCATCGTTGCCGTCATCATTGGGCATCGCAACACTGCTCACAGGTTTTGTAGTTATATTAACAACATTAATATTCCTGGCATTATTTTTAGCAGCGTCGGAAGCGACAGTGTCCTCGTCATCATTCGGACGCGATTTGAAATCTTCCAAGATGAGTTTGAACCTTTCAGCGGGGTCAAAGTTCATAACATCCTCTGCTGGCACCTGAAAGACCTGAGACGTGCACGGACCTATGAGAGAACCCGGCTGAACCACCGAGGTTCGAATGTATTCGTAACTGTGGCTCACTCTGGCCGTTACGATTGGTATTTCCAAGTCTGATTTTTTGTCAGATTGAGTATTATTTTTATTATTTGAACTATTGGTGTTGTTCTTGTTGCTACTTTTTTTAACAACGGACGAGGAGGTTATCATTATAGTTGAATTTGTTGAAGTATTTGTGGGCGAGAAAATGGGTATTCTCTCAGAGTTGGGTCTGTTTGTAAGGCCCTTTGTTTGAAGTCGTTGTGCATATTGTTGATGACTTTGAGGTTTTTGTAGCTGCTGCTCAAGTTGTTGCTGCAGTTGCTGCTGTTGTAGCTGTTGTTGCTGTCGTCGTTGCTGGGCAAGTTTTTGCTGGTAAAGCATTTGCTGGTCCAGAACTCTCTGCTGCTGTTGCTGAGAAAACCTGCTCACGTGACTAGATGCCTCAGCAGAAGTTAATGAGGAGATGTTGGGCTGGAGGGAGGAAAGATCGTGATGAACAGTTTTGGTTGCGCCCTTCGTTGGGGGGTGCCCGATGAAGATTTCAACTTCATCCTCATCTTCATCATCAGCATTGTGGTTTGTGATGCTTGTGTGACTCGACGATCTGGAACTTGGAAGTACGTGAATTGTATGAGTTGTCTTCTTGGTTGTGATGCGGTGTGGTTTGGAGTTTTGGGTGATGGATGATGAGGAGGAGGAGGAGGAGGATGAAGATGGCGACGCGTGAACGTCCGGTGCCGAGTGTCCGTGCATCAGAGAATCTGACGTCAGAGCTAGTAACGACCTTCTTTTGACGTAATTATTATTATCATGATGATTAATGTTGTTGTTATTGTTGTTATTGTTGATCTTGTTGGAAGTGACAACTACGCTCCGATGTCCAGCAGTATCGGCATTTTGAACATGAGCTATATTTGCTTTCTTCCATGTCAAATTTGGGTTTTCCCGGGCCGGGATTGCCCGAAAATTAATTGAATAACTGTTATCGCCACCGCTGTTGTTGTTGTTGTTGTTGTTGTACATTGATGTTGAGTAACGTTTGTTTGATTGATGTATCGTCTTTTAACCGTTGTCGTCTTCTGATTATTTGACGTTGTTGTTGTTGCTTCTACTGTTGCTGATGATGTCCTTGATAGTGACATCATTCGTTGATGTTATGATGAGGTTGTCGACGTTAATGTCGTCATTTTGGTCAGCATGTTGTTGTTGTGGATGAGGATGATGATGATGAGGAAGAAGAAGAGGAGGATGTCAGTGATGATTTTGAAGTCTGTTCTTCGTCTAACCGTGGAGATTGTTATTTTAAAAAAATCTGTAAACATAATAGATTAACATGCCATCAAGACAAATTGACGAAATAGATGAAAAACCAAATTAAATGAACAAAATAAAGTGGCAAAAGTTATGCCACAACACTAGTATTAAAATAATTTAAAAAAAACATAAATAAAATTAAAAAAATATACATACACACTAGCAAGGGTGAATGAAATGGCTATGTTAACTAATTCTGCCCTGATATAATTGCTTCCTAAATTTATGTTTTCTATCTAAAATAACACATAATTAAGGGCATTCCGTAATACCTTGTGTGTGTGTGTGTGTGTGTGTGTGTGTTTGTTGTGTGTGTGTGTGTGAGTGTGCGTGAGTTGTGTGTAGGTGCATGCGTGTGCATATGAATCAAAAACTTTTAACACATGAGTATTCAGATTTATTTTCAGTTTCTGTTTATTAAAATATTTTATATATTTCTCACGTTATAATATTTAAAAAAAAATAAAAAAAATTTTCAGAGATTTAAAACAATTTAGTTAATGATAAACAAAATATAGTACAGCGATATCCATCCATCAACTTACTCATCGTCATAATATAATTGATTGGATTGCTGGTCAAAACATACAATACATCATACACACAAAAACACATACATACACACGCACACACACATTCTACATACGTCACACACATAAACACACACATACACGCACACACACATTCTACATACGTCACACACATAAACACACACACACACACGCACACACACATTCTACATAGGCAACACACACAAACATATATACATAACACATACACTACACAATACATAAAAACACATACACACACAGCACATACACAGCACACATTCGTACATCATATTAAATACACATAATACATATTTATCGACCATGGCGCTTCTTTCAAAAGTTCAAAATGTGTTACAAAAGAAAGAAGCTGCAAGTAGTAATAGCAGTAGTGGTAAGAGCAGTAAAAGTCGCCGTTGTAGTCGCAATAAAACTTTTAAAAAATGAATAAACAACAAAACAACAAAAAACAACAATACATGGAATTTAAAAAAAAAGAATTTAGAAGATTCAAGGCATTTCTGACAAAACAAAATTATTGAAAAATAAAAATTTTACAGACTAATAGATGAAGATAAGACTTAAAAATGTAAAAACTTAAGAAGGTTAATCATCCATTCCTTCATTCTTTCGCTCAGTCGTTCCTTCATTCATTCCTTCATTCATTCATTCATTCATTTCCTTATTTAATTTGTGCAGTCTTAAAACGAATGTAATGAAACGTTCACATCACCATCCTCATCATCGTCATCAACATCACCATCGACAACAACCGCTCACCAGTCATGGCTCAGAAAGAAAAAACATTTCGAACTAATGATGACGAAACGTTGACGTCATCAACAATAATAATAATAACAATAATAATGATCAATCTTCAGATACAATTCATTTGATTATTTACTCGCTCTTCATTCATCAATTCATCCATCCATGCATTCACTCATTAATTCATTCATTCAAAATGTAGTACATCGACTCATCCATCTATCCATCCATCCACTCATCTCCATCCATTCATCCAGCAATCCAATTGTTTATCCATCTACCTTTATATTGGTATCAATGTATCCATTCATCTATCCATCCATGTATCCATTCATCTATCCATCCATGTATCCATTCATCTATCCATCCATGTATCCATTCATTTATCCATACATGTATCAACGGCCCAACAAATCTACACTTAAACTATTTTATCAGCAATTTAAATCTTTAACTCTTCAAATACACCATCCATCAAACAATCCTAATATATACAATTTATATCAGTCATCAATCCATCCTTCTATCCTTCCATCCATCCATAAATCATGCATTTTATTCATTAATCTCTCAACCATCCACCAATCCGTCATCAAATTAATAAAAAGCTGCTTCAATCCATCTTTCCATTCATCCATCCATACATACATACAAAAATTTGTTGTAAGCCACACATCTAACTTCATTTTTAATACCAATATGACGTGTGAACATTATTATTATAAAACATACAGAACATGCATTTACACCAAGTTTTGTGTGTGTTTATACACACACACACACACACACGCACACATACAAACACACATACACAACAAACACACAAACAAACAAACACACACACACAAACAAACCAACAAACACACACATAGATAGCATACGTTTGTGTATGTACTGTTTAATTTGATGCATGTTTCTGAGTTTGGGCTGGCAAAAAAGGATTATATATGTGTTTTTTGTGCGTGTGTATGTGTATATTTATGTGTGTTTGTTTGTGTGCGCGCGAGTGCGCATGAATGTGTAGAAATAATAAGTCATATGATTATTGAGTGAAATGCCAGCAGAACAAAAAAATGCCATCTTATCCCCTAAAGAGATCAGATGAGGAAAATAAAAAAACGCATCATTCACTCACATCATCTTTGTCGTCGTCGTCGTCATCATCACCGTTATCGTCATCCTTTTCCTAAATAGTCTTTGTCATTATTATCATCATCATCTTCGTCATCATCAGCTTCGTCATCATCAGCTTCGTCATCATCATCTTCGTCATCATCAGCTTCCCCATCATCATCTTCACCATTATCCTTTTCGCCGTCATCATCTTCGCTATCGTTATTTATCAACTCAGTTCCTTATCAACCATTTCATAATCATTTTCCTCATCATCTCAACATCCTTTTTGACAACGACATCCTGATTATCTTAACTGTCGTCTTTATCATCGTTGTCATCATCATCTTCATCATGCAAGCAAGCAATCCCAAACGAACTAACCATAATTCGTCATCGTATTATTTATCATCACCGTAATGTTCATCACATTCATCATCGTTACTAATTCTGAGATTAGTTACACATTGTATAACAATATTACCAATAATATCACGACAGTGTTATCATTATCACTATTATTATTATTATTACAAAACTAAACTAAAAATAGCTAGCAAGAGATAAAAAAATACGTAGATAATATATTATTATACGTAATTAAGCAACAATCAAAACAAAAAGCATAGAAACTTCAGGAATCTTCTCAACCAGATGGTAACGATGATGATGTCGTTAGCCATGGTGATAACAATTGATGATGGATAATATTATTCAAATGTACATACTAATAATATTGACATGGTGATGATTGATGATAAGAACAAAATGTACAATGATAATGTGATCGGTAAAGACGTCAAAATGATGATGACGATGACATAGAAATGATAACAACGACATTAAAGTGATGATGACTAAGACATTAAAATGATGATGACATTGAAATCTAAATGATGCTGATGATGAAGACGATGATGACATGAATAAGATGATGACAGGAATGATGATGCATCCATTAACACGCTCGCATGAAATTACATGGAATTTTATAGTCATCATTAACACCATTTAAGAAAAAATCGTCGGAATTATAACCATTCATCATCTTCATCCTCATACTCATCGTCAACATCATCATCACCATCATCATCATCGTCTTCATTTTTATATTAATACAAATTCTCACTTCATAGGATCAGTCATCATCATCATCATTATCTTCATCATCATAGCCATCCTCATCATCTTCGTCGTCGTAGTCATCACCATCCTCATCATCAGCACAACGAACAATGGTATTTATGGTGTGTACAGAAAAAACTAATACGACTTAACAGAGCTCAATAAAAGTTAGGGTAAACATAGTTTTCAATATACATCATCGTCGTCATCGTCACCATCATCGTCGTCATTATCGTCATCGTTATCATCATTACAGCAGTTCTATTGCCATTTTCATAGTCATCATTATCGTCGTCATCAACCATTAGTTACGTCATTATCACAATCACCAATCACCATCCTCAAACATGTGCATTTATGTGCATTTCTGTTATTTATACTGCAATATCATTAGCATCATTAATGTTATGATTATCGTCATCATCGCACTCTTAATCATCACAGTCTTGATCATTACAACAATCTTAATCATCAATTGTCATCATTTTAATCACCATCTTCATCATCACGACCCCTGCCAGTTTTGTTTCATTCTTCGTCGTCATCTTCATCTCCGCTGCTATCATTAGTTTCATTACATTACCGTTAATAATAAAAAATGTTGTTGTTTTAGAGGTAATATATTCATCCATTGTACTCTAATCATTATCATCATCATCATCATCATCATCATCATCGTTGTTGTTATTATTATTATTATCCCCATCACCTCTCATTATTGTCATCTCTTTGATCATCGCAATCATCTTCGCATCACAACCATCATCATCTCATCACCGTCGTCATGATTATCACCATCTTCGTCGTCATCATCACAACAATCCTTATCACTATGTCATGATTCGGTTGCACTTACACCCTAATCTTTTTCATCTTGCCTTTGATGTTACATTTGGCAAGCCAGTATCACCATATTTCTGGTCACCTACCAGACGAACAACCATCACTGAATCTCATCATGATATATTCATCATCACCACTTTCGTCGTCATCCATTTCTTTAAACAAACCACCCTCATCAGCTTACCTTCATCATTAAAACATACACCACAAACATTTAAAGTTCTTATTGCCAACATCATCATATCATCATCATCGTACATCATCATCCTCCTCATCACCATCATCGTCCCAGTCATCATCATCATCATCATC